TCTATATTTACTATGAATTGAATTCTAACTATCGCTATGACAGTACTTTCGAAACAAAGTAACTTCAACCATACCATATTTGTTAGTTTTTCATTATTTTCCTGCAATTTTGTAATTATCTAAATCTTTTTTGATACAAGTGCCTGTCGTGGGAATTATAAATAACAGCATTGACAATTCACGGTAAAGAGCAATCACGCATTGTAACACACACGTTCACTTACGTTCATGTAATGGATTTATTAATTCTTGTTATTGAAATACAATTGCTTAGGTATTAAAAGCAATAACGTTATTGGGCGCTCCCGAAGTATGTGCACCAAGATGGCGCATAACCTGAATCCTGACCTGGCACACATACTATGTTCAGGTTGTGCGCCATCTTGGTGCACATACTTCTGGAGCTCCCGTAATTGTAATTGGTGTAGCTGCAAAATATCTATTTGGCTAAATTCTGTTTTTTTTTTTAATAAAATGGTTCTCGTTTTTCACAAAATTCATGAATATCATTTTTTGAATACTGTATTAATAACCAATGGATCACACTTTCATTAGAATACGAATATGATGTGCGAATATACAAAAATGTGAACTCAACGAAAGGTTTAAAATTATGTATAAACCAGTGATGATCTACAATCAAAACTTAACATTTTCTGCATGCCGTCACGAAGTAATTATCACGAAAATGCTCTAAATTTAGCAGTTATGTTTCACGGTAAAAGCCATTTCTGTAGCGTTAAGAAGTTTATATAATCATATACATTTTGTAATCACGAAAATAAACATCCTTATCCTTCATGACGCTTTGTGTCTATGTCGTTGAGAATTCGTTTGTTCTACTAAAAGCGTACCGTACGTACACATCGACGCATTTTAGACGGATAGACAAGTAAAAGTTAGTGCAATGTATAATCTTTACCACTCGACTCATATATATATATATATTATACGTTTATATTATACATGTATCCATGGCAACGTCAATCAGTTCGGGAATTGTAAGTGACATTGATGAAATTAGTAAAGAAGCAATTTCGAAAACTATATGCTATAGCATAGATCTGGAAATGTAGCTTCAATTTGATGTAAACAAAAATAAATGAATTTTCAAACTGCAACCACCTCCGAAAGTTCATTTTGGGTAAAATATATCATGCAGTTTCATTGCATTTCTCAAAAGCAGAACAAGTTGCTAGAAATATTCCATACAATTATAAAATAAGTCAGTCAAATGGGAAAAATGAAAGTATATTGATATGTTGCACCATTCTAAAATAACAATTTGGTACAAAATATCGAAACCCAATTTATGGTTGCGTATTTAATAAAATACCACATTTTTAAGATATAGCCAACTAAACATTCAACACAATAACACTTACACTATATGTAGTAGTTTCGTGCTTATGAAATCCGAACGTCTACGAAGACATATTTGAGCAATTGATGAAAAAATGCTAAATATCAAAGATATTATTGGAAAATGACTTGAAAAAATAATGATTCCCAATATTATACTACTGACAAAATATATCAATCAATGTACAGTAAAATCTCCACTTACGAAATGAACTCGATTCGTAAGCAGAAAATTTAGTAAGTAGAAACGCATCTTATGCTATAAATGTCCTAATCCTTTCTTAGCCCCCACAAAACTCGGAAATAACACTTGTATAAATTATAAATGGAATAGTTATTATGAATACATGGTTAAACTAAAGATTCCGCATTACGTCTGGTGGTATACATAAAATATTGAGTAATTCTCTATACTTTGTTTCACTTTTTGAAACAGTTATAGACTATGACATATAGCAAAATTCAATATTACAAAATAATCGCAAACCATATTCATTGTAATAAAACCACAACCTGTTTATATCGATACTGAAAAATTCGTATCTCAGTGCGACCAATAGAGAATGTTATATGTGTATCACTTTCGATCTGAGCAAGTCACAATTAGTACATAGCTACTATTTATATTTCATTATCAGAGTAATTTGTTATTTCCAAAACATATACAAATCATATTTGATCCGAGTGAATACATATAAATATCTATATTGGGCGAAATAAATATCTTTAATTCACATTTATAAGCGCTCGAAAAATGGGCTGTAGACGGTGGTGGGATTCAGCGGGTTCGCACCGGTTCTATATAACCGTCCCACGGAATTTTATGAGATCAGCGAACTGGTCAGCATTACTGGTTACTGTCAATGACTTTTTCTAACAGAACCGGGTGAAAAATATGACATTTGTGATGAAACCAACTGACAGAAAACTTGAACCCGCCACTGGCTGTAGATGTTTATTTCGCCTTTGGGACGTCACCATAGTCGTATGGTAACAATAATAATTATTATGACGGAACAATTGCAATAATGTGCATGTCACAAAAATCTCCATTTTGAAGCGTTTCAGAATCCTCGGGGTGAAATTCGAGTTAAAAGACAGGTGCACGTGCGCATCATTACTATTGTATATAACTAACTATTGCATAACTATTCTTAAAAAACTCAAAACTGCAAATAAGTGGCATATAAAATTTGGTTATTAGAGTGACGAATTATTGAATCCGATTAACGAAACATTGATTTAATTTTCATATTCTTATATTAAGGTACTTAGAGCGTTGTTCCTGGCGAATGAGGTTATAAATCTTGGATACAAGACCATGTTTACTACAATATCAGCCAATTTTCATTGGCTCCCTAGTTGCTTGCATGGATCTTGTCAGGAGTGCAGTTGTAAACATATCATAATATTTATCTAAATGGGTACGTATTTAATTTTAATATTGCAAGCTGTAAAAAGCTATTTGAAATTGTTGTGTATGTCATAAATGCACCTGTTTGGTCAGATTCACGCGGTCTGCGGTAACACAAAACCTATAATATACTTTTTATCTAACCTAATCGCCGAATTAACGACGTAGACTAGTATTAAGTTTCCCATATTTCCAGGTGGGATAAATTTTCTGAAATATTATCTGGCATGTAGCTTAATCGTATTATCAATCTGATGAAGCGGTATGATTTCAGTCGACAAAAATAAATCGCTTCCAAGTCTCGTCAAAACTTTTCATAACGTCGTTGGAAAACTGTAATGCAATATATATATATATAATTATCATTTAAAGCTTCATCATTGCACTACTTGCATCTTACGGCACGCATAGCGCTCCAAATGGTTCTAAAAAATACCCATTTTTCTTTATTTCCTCCTTCTGCAAGTTTGTCTAAATCAAAATAGTGATTGCCCCACTAAAATTGAAAAAGTATTGGAAGAAAAGTGAAAGGCGACAAATGATAAATCTTCAAGGTTTATTTGAGCAATAGAAATACCAATAGACTTTAGTTCCCCGGAGGCCTGAAACGATCAACGTAGTAACTATCTGGCGAACGGATAGTTTGAACACTATTTCACAGCGAACAGAATATTTAGAAAAATAACTTTCGGTACAGAACCTTAATTAACAAGTTGGACCTAAACTGTATATAAATGAGAATTGTAAAAAAGCGATCAATCATATTAGGAACACATTTGAGCCATGCGAAGTAGGTTAAGAACAGTCACGAGAACACGAAGCAATACTTCATACCAAACATTCATTTATACAGGTGTAGTTTGCACTCAGACAATAAATATTCACGATGGCAATGAAGTAGTATTTTAATGGTGAACAAAAACTTATTGAACATAATTTTTTTTTACATTTTAACAACGTAGCTTTATATAACGATTAAATCATAATTCTTTAGTTTTACTCGTGTTGCTCGGCTTATTGGATTGTAAATAATAATAAAAATGTGGCATCATGTTTTCTATTTTATTTGTAAATACCATTTAAAGGAAGAACTTCAAAATTATGTTATTAAGTCGGGTTTGCGATTAGATAGAGAAATATTGCGTAAGAATCTATCGAAGGCTTTTAAGCAACGCGACTGACTGAGCTTCACTACAGTAATCAATACGGTAATCCGTTCTCATGGTCAAATAAATTAGGTAAACAGTTTTCACAAAAAAAAAAACACATATTGTTTGCGGTTTATGTACTGAAATGATAAAATATGAGTTTTAATGTTTGAGTGAGTTCTCAACATACTGTAAGTGATTTAAATGTTTTGTTCAGTTTCCAAAGTCCCATCAATTTTTCAGGAAGTGGAAAGTCAGATTTTCCCTGATTTAAATGCAAATGCATACTAACTTCATTTATTAATGTAAGTACCACAAAATATCAAGACAAGTAAGAAAGAACATGACCGCCCGTTAAAGACGTTGTATTGAAATATAAAAATATAACAGCGTCATCTGAGGCATCGTTTTAAATGTTATTCCGCCCGTCTATGATTCCAATAGAATGTATTGATGATTCCCAATTTGATACCACTTTTCCATCATTAATATATGACATTTTGACTTAATTTGATTATTTCTGTTCTTTGTAGAAATTTCGATGAAAACAAGCAAAAGTTAATTTTTGCCATGACAACTGGTAGCCATGGCGCTGTATATTCAAGTCTGTTAAATCCCAAAAGCAAAACAAGGCCGCTATTCAAGTGATACATTTTGTGGTTGAACTATGCTGTATTGCATAGATTCTCGAAGTGCTCTATATACGAGTAAGTCCCAGGACTTCGCCAAAGAAACCTATGGGCTCTGAGAGCTATTCGTTAACTTAATAAAATAATGACTTGGCTAATTTTGTAACTGTCTAAAGAAGCAATGACGGCATTATTAAAATTTGACAACTGTAGCGTCGAAATGTGGCAACAGGGTGGTTTCAGATAACACATTATCTATAAGTTTGAAGTAATTTTAATTTACCAAGAAGCATTAATCTGTAAGTAACAATATATTTAGTTGTTTTTATTTTATAAATTGATTGTGGGTCTCCGCAAATAATAGTCAACCTCTGCTCGGGCTCCATACCACTCAAAGCTTAAGAACCCCTGCTATATTGAACCAGAAGACCCAATATTTCGGATAGTTTATTTATTGAAAATGACAAATCGACACGTGAAAACAGCACAAGTAACAGACCATGAAAGTTATGCAAACATTGGAATAGTAATTCTAGGTCGGAAGCAATTAAGTAAACTATCCGGTATTTTATTCTGAATTGTGATGAGATTTTCGAATGTAAACTAAAATTTGAGAGTTTGTCTGTCAAGAGAGTATTCAATATTCCATCAATATAAGTTTCTGTTTTGTTTCTGATGGGTCTCGTAATTTACTATTTCATGTGGTGTCAATGTGCTCCAGTCCAGCAAATCGCTCTGTAAAATATGTGATAGTTTTTAACATTCTCCTTATTTTTAACAAGATCACAAGCGAACGCTGAACGGAAAAAAAAACTATTAACAAATCAACTAACCTAAAATAACGCTTGACTTTATTTCAGCGATTCCTTCGTGTCTTGGAGTATGTGAGCAGTTTTTCCATTCAGGGAATTTAGTTCCGGGCATCACTTTTTGTGTAAGAAAAGCCCACGAGTCTCGGGGGGCTGAAAAAAGTTTGATACATTGACTACAATCGCTAAATTGCATTGCTTTACAAACTATTCATTCCCTTTCTATAGTGTGCTTATTTACTATATTTATTTGCTATGTAGAACGGAAGCTAAGGAAGTCTGATTTTGGTCAGACGAAAAGTTACAGAAATACATATGTGTTGGTGTGCCATAGTATGACCATGTTTGTTTTTGCTAAAGCGTACTTGCATTATACGCCTACGAATCCACTAGCATAAAGGCATTGAAGAAGGGGAAAGGATAGGATTTACATATTCATCCCGGGATTGGGGATTGGGAGGGGATTGGGATTGGGAGTTAGTCTCACGTAACCTCCACTAATATGCACCTTGAGTTGTCTATATACACATACATTGCTTACATTTATACATTGGTTTAAATGCCGTATATGCATAATAAGTTGAATGTATGTGCATATGACATTGAATTTTGTATGTACATCATGGGTGCATATGCATATTGAGTTACGCTAGTTTTTTCATATTTCGTTCAATAGCGTTATGGTTTTCATATAAGAGTTTTTAATCAGCTGAAGTGGGAAATTATGACCTCTTAACATGTCCAGGTATATAGCGTGCATATATGTATGATGGATTGATTGTATGTGGTTGTGTGTCACTTGAATGGCTGTATTTTTACATTGAATTGGCTGTATATACATATGAAATTGGCTGTATAGTATATTCATATTTGTTTGGTTGTATATGTATATAAGTTGTCTCGATATGCAGATATTTAGCTGTATATATATTTATAGCAGTCCACCAACCATATCGCAATATTTTGGTACTTGCGATTGACAAAATGTTATATTTGAGTCATGTCAAGTCAAGTTTGAACCAGTAATGAAAAAAATCAATTGAACATAAATTACGAGAAAAGGATAATTACTCATATTTACTGGGGAAGGAAGTTGCGGAGAACCAAAGCTGGTTATCGAGCAGAGACACCCAAGGTTCACGTTTTTAATTTGAAAACAAAAAAATTGAAATTTTAGAATTTGAAATCTGTCGGTGAGTACCGAACGAGTATCGCTTACCGGAGGTGGTTGATTTCTAGAGATTGCAACGAAGAACCAAAAGATCAACTGCTGAACAAGTCGGGTGCTGCTGAAGTGTTAGATTGTGCACACTGATAAATCAGGTACATTAAATTAAATAGGCAACATTCAAAATTACTAGTAAACGGCATGGGTAATCTAGCTTACCAGCTACGCTTGTACAAGTACGGTACCGTTACCAGTACAGAGTACCATAGATATGTATATACTCAGTCGAGATTGTTTTTCAGTCAATAGGCAAAATCAACCGTGCTAAAATTACAATAATATTAAAAATTATACAGTTTTCACTAGAAATGGGTAATTACTAAAAACAGTATTTAAACTTTGGACGGGGAATCCCCGATTTAATCTGGATTACTTGAAGCATAATTTCTGCCTTGAAAGATACCTGAAATATTTTTTCATATAGTGTTTTTGTACGTTAATCATATACATTTAAATTCAAATTATAAGTTACCTATTTCTATTGGACAATCCTCTCCACCGGCACCAAGAGAAGACATGAAAGCTTTATCCGCATCGTCCATTCTACTAGACGTTGTTGCATCCCTGACGGCCATGGCAATCAGAGATCCATAAGGTACTTCTTTTAGGCATGAAATCATGTTCTTTACCTTCATTAAGGTAATTTATGCCATTAATATTTTCAGAATAAGCCGCAATGAAAAAAAACTGCCTTACAAATAAATGCGCCATTGGGATATGAGTTAAAAAAATTACCCTGTTTGCAATTTTTTTCATTTTGATCAAAACTTGGTTTTAAAATATCCATATAAATGCATTGCGAAGACTTCAGCACTAGTTTTTAATAATTGCTTAAATATTCACAAACATAAGATTTCAGAATACAGTATCACACATTTTCATTCAGCAAACTATGGAAAAATTTTGAATAATATATGACAGATATTTACTCAAACCAAAGCTAATAGTTTTGGTATTTAACATAATCTCCAAAGTAATTGAATCTGTATAAAAACTTACTGCTTTCGTTGATTCGTAAGTGTCAAATGCGCGAGTTTCTGAAGTAAGGGTTCGAGAATTTATAACAAGAATATTATGTCCTCTGTTATAATTGATTTTGTTAACGTCAATCCCATTCACACGTAGCTCGTACGTATTGCCGTCATCATAGCCTGCTGATTTGATTTGAAACCGATATGATTTCCTACCTGAAAAATACCAGTGCGAAACATCGCATAAAACGTCCCATTCCAACAAATGATATAATTTATAAAACAAAATGGCAACAAACCGTGGCAGTTTCCAGTAATCAACTCGATTCTCATGCAACTTTTATTATTCCAAGTTTTGGGGAAAATTCTGACATATCGGCAGGATAAAGATGTCGGAAACATGTTAGAAATTTTTGTGTTTGCATCACTGTTACCTAAAAATACCTGGAAAGATGAACAAAAATTAAAAATACTTCTTGAGCAAAAACAAAATATCGTTGAAAGTATAGTACACACATATATATACCAGACACCCTAGCAAAAAAACTATAATTTCTTTATTTTAAAAGTATATTTATAGTCAATTAAGTTGCAAAATATCTTTTAAATGTTTCATTGCCGTTGCTGTTCCTTCAGCCATTGCGATCAAAATCTCTATTTATATCCTTTTTATTACAGAAAAACTTTGCTCAAAGCTGAGTCATGCGCATTCACGCTAAAGTGAAAGATTTCCCATTTCTAAACAAGGTAACAAGCAAAACACCGTAATACAAAATATGTTAAAAAACAAGATATCCCAGTCTTCGAACAAAATAGTAGCAATAGCAACCCATGCAATATTTGTTTCCGAACGTGTTTAACGCTTGTACCTTAATTTTCTCTTTGGTCAGAACGCTAATAAGTTATGTAGCAGGCCCAAAATGAAGCAATAGGCAACCAATTATATTACAACACAAGTTACGCCAGCAAGTCGATTTTAAATACGTGCAAATTTTGCAATTGTTGTGAATATTGTATTGTAATTTTTAAGATCCACTTTAATTCGAATTTATAATTCGCTGTCAACAAACAAAAAAGTCTTCAATTAAGTCTAAAAACTGTAATATAAACTGTAACTGTACAGTAGCAACTCAATACAACAAGAAACATAATCCTAGTAATTTAACTATTTATTTTTCTATATTCTCTCCACCTTTAAATCTCCTTTATATGAATATTCCTGAATTATAATAAATCGTTTCATTGGTGTTTCTGACCATTTCAATATAATTTTATTTCAAAATAGAAACTTGGTTGAATTTATTACCATAATCTATTTGTACCTTGTTTATCCCATTTTCAGCAATTGTCGTTAACTGTTGTTGGCTAGAGCCACAAGCAACTTCAAATGAAGTAACCCAATCATTAGAATACGGACGTCCTTGAGTCATTATTCCTGCTACAAACTTTGGCTTTCCCAAGTCTACCTGAATCCAACCAGGACCTTGAATTGGGAACAGTTTTAAAATATGCTGCATTTGATTAAAACCTGATAAAATCTACAACGATGTCATCCATCAAATATCAAATAAGGAGATAAATGAACAAAGTGCATATCACAAAAAAAAACTGTTCAAATCCATTCAAAATGACATTGGAATAGGTTTCGTAATGTGGCATGTATATGCAGTCACATACACAAATATGCATTCTAACAAAGGCAATTGCTTGCGTTCTCCATCGATTCCCCAGCACGGTAATTTCTAATTACATTACAAGTGACTTGTGGCAGATACCTAACGAGAGATTACGAACCAACAAGTTCAATGTTTTATATAATTGTAGCATCAATCGGTAGCTGTCTCTACATTCTTTGTGCGCGTAAATATAAATGTGGATCCAACCGTTTGTACGCGTAATAATACGCAAGACCCAAAACATCATATTATGTTACTCTGACGAACGATCGTTTTTTTCACCAGGTTGGATTCGAATCACCGTTATTGAAATACTTTCGAGTATTAGACTCCCTCGACAATTATTATTTCTGTCACCCTTATCCTTATAATTTTGTACTTAAATATTTTTACCAGCATTATCCATGGCACACCATGAACCATAGGAATGGGCGTTTGGCTGTGCATCTAGTCTTCCAAAATATGCTCGGTGCAACTTTCCGTCACTGGACGCTGTCATTGCATAATCTTGTACATCATGAAATTTTATTCCCAGCGAACAGTGAAGGGCTGTTTCAAAAACATGTTATTATTATTTTTTGGTAACTTCTATAGTATTACTACTAAAGAACACGACATAAATAATTGTTGTTGAAAGTATTTAATAATTTTGAAAGTGTAAATTATTAGAAAAATCTTAAATTATAGCGCACAAACTACTAATGCGATTCAAAAAAAATCTTTGAAAAGCAATTCTCAAGAGGTAATTATTAAACTTAAGGCGTTTATGATGTTTGTAAAGAGAATACGCAATAAGCAAAATTAAGTCTTATGGATTATGGCATCAAATATATTAAAATTTTTACGCCATCAAAAGATCATGTTTTTAATTTTTCTCCGTTTCAGGAAATTTTTTTTAATGTGTCAAAGAATAATGTGTAGAACTATAAAAAGGAAAAGGGGGTTGAAAAATTTTCTTCCTTCAAATGAAACATTGTTGACAAGATATTATTATTTTCGTTCTTGTCATTTTGAAAGTTTTTCTCAAAGTACATACCCATGGATGCAAGTTGTCTTTCGCATGGTGTGGGGTTACATGCATCGCCCTTTTCTCCTTTTGATCCAGTGTCCCCCTTTGGTCCGTTAGGCCCCATTTTACCAGGTCTGCCCTTACACACAGCAGCATCGCAGGATGGCAAGTGTACTCCCCTCTGTTCTACAACATGTGAGCAAAATTCGTAGACAGTAGGCATGTGGGCATGTCCGGTTTGCAATAACAAAAATATTCGCAATAATGTGAATAACGACCTCATTGCAAATTTAGATTTATAATAACTATTCGAAAGAACTGATTTAAATTTTAATGAAAAGCTACATATAAACTGTTTTATGAGTAGAAGTTACGCGAGCCTAACTCTTTATCCCTCCTCAATGCCTTTGTGCTAATGAATTCGTATGCATACAATGCAAGTATGCTGTAGCGGAAATAAACAGGACCGTCTTATTTATCCTGCTGCACATTAACACAAATATATTTATGTAACTTTTCGTCTGACCAAAAGTAGAATTCCTCAGACAAATATTTTTTCTTGTCATTGTTATAAAGTGCTCTTCTGAGGAATGACTTAGGTCAGACGAAACGCTACAAAAATACATTTGTGTTAGTGAGAAGCACAAATCCTGAATTACATAGTATAAACCTTATATCATACTTTTTTCGTTGAAAAGTGCATCGTGAAAAATTATAAAAACCAATTTTCAATTAGCTGTCTAAAAAGATTGCATCAATGTAATCCGACTAATAGCATCTACATTACTGTTAACTAAGCAAGAAGTCGCCAATATCATTCGATTGTTCGAAGAATGACTGAATTATTTACATGAGTACATAGAAAAACAACATTACCACGCAAGTACTATGATGCCAAATTTGAACTGTTTTGGCAGAGTGGTTCATAATATACAATTTAGGTAATGTTGTTTTACCAATAAATTTTGAATAATTTCCTGTATTTTCGACAGCATATTACAAGATAAAATAAATAAACAATAAATATGGAGGAAGTGCCGTCTGATCACTCTCTGCACGAAAAATAGACTTGGAGCTTCTGATTGAAGCGATATTGAAGTCATTTAGGGTAAAATATTTTGAAAACAAATTGTTTTGGTGGTAGATAAAATTCCAGTGCTCGAGTCAAGTCATTAAATATCAGTCAAGATTTAGATTTACATGTTACCAAATATTTTATAGTGTAATTTAGTTTCTGTTTGTTGATAGTACATAAGACGCATCATTTATAAAGATCATTTGTTGGTGAAATTGTGGTATTTTTGTCACATTTATTTTAAAAACAGATTATTTCATAAATTTTATTCAATAGAATAAACTAAGAGATTTTTTTATCTTTTACTTTTTGATATATCTAGACAAGTTTGAAATCCATTCTGTTTTCCTGCATCTTCCAGCGCGATTTTTTACTCGCCCTCCAAATATATAGATGACATTCATCATTTTCAAATTAGAAATTCTCATGTGATTTAGTCGTTTCTTATATCAGTCGTTTTTATTAGATAGTAGGATCCCAATAATTCATTTATTTTAATTATATAAATTTAAAATATAACTGGTTAAAATTGTCAGGTTCTTGATTTACTCAAATTTTATTTTTCCTTTATACTTCATGCAAATACATTGTTGCAACCCATGCTACGGTTTTTATCTTTTGTGCATTCGTTGATATGTGTTGCATGCCAAATGGCATTTGAAACCTCAGGTTGTAAATGTTTAATTTATCTGACAAGTGCCAAGTGTAATTCATCGCCAACTAGCTGTTTTTGTCGCTTCCACATAGTATTAAAATTTGCTAATAAACTTCTCAATCTTCATAATTCTTGACGTTTGCATAACTCCCTGAGTAAATACTATACGTAAAATAGATATACTTGTAATTCGTCTTTATTTTTTACCGAATAAGATAAAATACACATATTTGTACATATTGAAGAAATAGCAGAATAAGTTGATATAAAAGGATATATGAATAAAATCATTTGCAGGCCTTTGCTAGGCATTTGTCGTTGCTTTGTTCACAAGCTTTCAATGCTTTCATTGTAGTTCTCATAAGATCTCAATAAAGTTCATGACAGACTCGATAATTGCTACAGTGAAATTTTGCTATGCTTGCTTTTCTTTTCTTCCTCGTATACACGATGATTCTTACCATCCGCTCGATTGTTCAATCATAAGTTGATTCAAGTAAGCATTAAGTTCGTACAGACAAAATTCCAATATGTCATCTAGAATTGAAGACAAGTATAAGTTCATGACACATGAGTACTTCGTTAAGTCAATCTACGCGATCAGGTTGTGTAAATTTCAAATTTCTAGGTGAGATACAAAACGGTCATCTATAGTTTCATTGTGGAATATGATCAACCCAGAAAATCGTTATGTGAAACAAACTATGACGGTTGAAGGTTCGTTCCATCCAAAAACACTCTTTCTATATAAGTTTGTCGGGCCATATTCGGGATATGAGAAGTGATGTCATTACTTTATTGCCCCTATTTTTAAGTAAAATCTCGTATGATACCGAAGTAGTATTTATAACTTACAGTTTCGTCGCATGCATCTGTTAAACAATCGTCGAAGATCTCTCGCTGATAGTTGGCTGTTTTCGAAATCTCGTGTATTTGGTATCAATTCGTATGGTTCGCCTGATATGATAAAAATAAGACAGAATTTTCTTAAAATATGAGAAAACGTAAACATTGTTCATAGCAGGTATACAAATATTCTTAAAATATCTGTCATTATTTATATTCGTGCTAAAATATGAATACATTACAAAATTATTATTACAATACCTCCTCGGATATCTTGAGCTAATGTAGATCGAATGAGAATCGTCACTATGCATGTAATTGCAATAACTGAAACCTTCCCAATTTCCATTCCTGATTTAGGATGATACTCTTTTTCTTTGAATTTGACTTGAATGTAAATATATATTTCGAAACCCGGTGGCTTGCTTATATAGCTTCACCCAGCACGTTTTTGCAATTACTGGCGCCAAATTGATTGTAATTACAATAATGGGAAGAGAATTTTACGAATGTTGTAATAAATCAACCATGAGAATTAATATTGTGAATTTCTTTACGTAAAATAAAGAACAAATCATATTTACCATTGACGCAAACAGGAGGATAGCCGTCAAGATAAGAAAAGAGATTTGACTCAAGTATTAAAAAAATGTAAGGGCCTGACAAAAATCATTCATGTTCTGTGTCCAGATAAATTATTCATCGAAATATTATTTACTAATTAAGACTATTTAGCTTATAATTTGATTCAAATTGGCTAATAATTGAATAATACTCTAAAATGTTAATATTATTAATTAACTTAAAGTCTTTATCGACTAATTTGATTGATTTCCTTAGCTCGGAATATCGAGACACCATGTCTCGAACGATATCATTTTATTAATGATACACAAGTCCTAACGTAAAAGTAATTAAAATTTTTTTTATTATAAATTGTTTCGAATAAATCACTTGAGTCGTGAACTGTAGAAGAATTTACGTTTGAAATACGAACCCAGTCCGAAAAAGAATTCCTGGTCCGGAAATTCCTTATTTGAAGTAAGTTTTAAAAAAAATAAAAACTGAAATGAATGAATTATTTTTATTTTTCCTGAAGGTGTGTTTAATCTTCTCTGCAAACGTGGAGACTAAAATTAAAAATAAAAATTCCCATTTGAAATCCCTTAATATCATGATATATTGATAATTATCGGCAACTTGGAATATGGTGATGTCTTCGATGGCACCAATACCAGTTTATTATTTTACACTTTCAGACACTTTATTCGATACGAATTCTTCCTCGGTTATTGGACTTTCCTTTGAGCTGGATACAAACATAACAAAAACCTAGCGAATTGTTGTACATATATTTGCATTTTCTAAACGAGTAAAGAAGAAATAGAAAAGTATTAACGTAAAAAACGGCACATATAAAAAAGCGAAGGAATTGTCAAACAACGTCAATTATACAAGCTAAAATGTGAATGAGGGATGAGTCTTCTTCAGAGATAATTTTCCTTTGAATGAACAGTCGCCCACTATTTGCAATCAAATATATTGTATATATCACGAAATATATAGAATTTTTTTTCAGTAATGTAGTAGTTTTTTTAGTTTTTAGTAATGCCATTAAACTATGTATTCTTAAAAAAAAACTGTGTTTTCGAGGAAATTAGTTGTTAATCTATTCATTGAGATGCTGCTTGTATAATATATTTTTCCATATTGATATTAACAAGATGAGATGACGATAAGTTGAAATCTTTTATTTGCTGAGAGTGCCTAGAATTTCCTCCGGAATTAAACGACGTAGAGAGAGAGTTTGCTCCGTTCAAGGATGCATTTAGCGTATATATTGACGGCAGACACCAACTTGATCTTTTTCTCTCTCGTTTTGCTCTGATCTTCTCGTTTTTTGGTCTGTAAAAAGTAATATGTCGCTCCAAAACCACATTGTAGGAAATGATGATATACTGTAGTTAATGATGAGAATTTCATTAACAGGAACTTTTGAGTGGCGCATATACATGTGTGATTTCAGTAATATATATATCAATTGAATAAGTGGATTTGGGTAAGTTTAAAACTATTTTTTTTACTCCTATTTGAACGCATGCGTCTCCCATGAAATCTTTACTTAGTGTCTGTTTTATGGCTATCCATTCAGTTTGAATGTTAAGCTATTTTATAAACACAACCAACAAGGGTTATTGGATTTCACTTTCACTTTTATTCATTGATATATAAAGTTCCTTATTTTATCATGACATAATGTCACCATGTACAAATTGAATAGAAAACCATTATCCAAGTTGTAGAACTATAGTGCTGCTGTATTTTCAGTCATACTTACGGTCTAATGTACTCTCTCACGTAGCCAGGAATAGATTCGTCGGGGTCAATTATACCATATTTTGGTGGTCCTTTTTTAATAGCTTCTAATCGCTTTTTGAGAGCCAACCGAGCTTCTTCATTATTTTTAGCGTTCTGAAAGTTCCAAAAACATGCTAATTACAATACAATTTTATCAACCATTAGGCGTTTTATCAATTTTACAATTAGCCATACTTCTTATACACCATTAGAGATTTACCAGTGTGCAACAGGTGATAAACCTGATAGCTATCGAAAATTGTTCAGAGCTGGCATCCCAAGTAATATGGTTTTATGAATATCTTCAGCGATAATCGAACCATTATGCTTTCGCAAGTATGTTATTTAATAATCATGTACACTTCAGTCGCACGACCCACCCCTCTGCGCATTCCGGTTTTCAGTTGCATACCTTTCATTTTACATTATCGTTTACCCATCTCTCCGTATCTTATATTCGTCGAAAAATCTCAGAAACAAATTTACAAGAAACCTTTTAACTCTGACAATGTCCGCGCAGGAGGTTTAGCAGTCCGATATAGACGTATAGTAATTACTGATGACAAAACTTTGAACTGAAACTTAATATCGGATTTTTGGTAACAGTTTATTTTGCCAACCCTTGCTAAAATCTTCAAAATGTCTAAATAAACTGATTTAGCATATCTAAGGCACAAATGTATTGTTTATCATTTTCAAAATCTTTATATATATCTATATATATATATATAATTCAAATACTAGTTTCATCCGTCGTTTTCCTTCTTCTTCATCTTGCGACAACTTTACAAGAAATTCCGAAACTCTTTTCCGTTGTTTAATTTCTTTATCCCTTGCATCTTTCAACAGTTGTTGCCTAGTTAGGCGATCCCTGTCAAAACACAAAATACAAATTACTGTGTAATAGATTAATCTAAGCTCTGTGTATTCTCCATCATTTCACATTCGATTTTGTCGATTGTTTTCCTACCTGTGTGAAGCAAAATGAAAGTATTTGGCAACATCGACTGTTGTATCAATGAGTTCACTTTCTTCGTTCAAATTGCCATCAATATCTTTCTTATAAACTGTCACTTGATATTGTTTTCCCTCCATTGCCTGTAAATAGACAAAAGAAGGAAATTTAAGTATAAAAAAAAATAATAGATTGTTTAACAAAATTAATATATTATCCAGGGGTGGCCAACACGTCGATCGCGATCGACCGGTCGATCTCCACGTCTCGAGTAGTCGATCGCTTCTGCGAGTAAATTTGATACCATACGTCAAAAAATTGCCTTGTACCAGTTTCATGCAGCGCATGTTGTGTGTTTTAAAACAGAAACAATACAGTACTATTTATACAGATACAGTATATATTTGAGTTTGGAAAAGACCGACAGAGCATATTATTACAAAACATGTGCAAACTCCGCCGCTGCCAAGGTTTAGACATGCCGAACATCGTGTGTCTTGACTCTTGACTGACAAACGATCCTACGATAACTTTTGCAGCATGCGAAAGATATTGTCTCACTCCAAGAGCGGTGTGATAAATTCTATTCGCAACGGTATACAATGGCATCAGAATGCCAAATTTCGTCTAATTCCAAGCGAGCGAATAATCGGACTTGGAGGAAATTGTAAATGAGATGCTGCAGTTTGAGCAGTTATGTAACGTAAGATAATGTTTAAATAATACATGGATACTTGGCAAGGTTTTTGGGAAATTTTCAACACTTACGACAAAAACATCAAATTAACAAATTAAACGGAACATGAAAAATACAGATTGCATTGGGAATGCGCCCAAAGAATCAAGCTTATTGGAAGCGGCGGAATTTGTTGTATGCGTATGTGCAGTTATCTGTATATTCAATACTCATTCGTTTTTGTGTATGACGTTTATGCCGATCAGTCGATCGCGAGCTATTATGACGATTCTAGTCGGTCGCGGTCGAAAGCAGGTTAGCCACCCCTGAACCACACAGTCAATATTTAAAAATGGTAGGAAAAACGAACCTGTATCGATGATCGATTGTTCATTTCCTCGGACGGATTAGATGGTGTTTTTGATGAATGTGAATTATATTTTCTTCTTTTACGTCTTCCCTTATTTGACTTTCGCCTTTTTTCGTTCATGAAACATTCAGAATCGATACTGAATTCAACTTGACTTTTTATTTCAAGTTGATTAGGCGAGCAATGTTCTTCCGTGATTTCATTTTCGACGGACTCGAAAAAATCGTTTTTACTAGTATTCAGGTATTGCTTTGTTGTAAAGCCATGTTTTTTTTGTGGAGAGAAATCGGAAACTTCGTCATTTTCCGGAATTGTTAATTTATCAAACTGAGCAAACTCAATGTCTTTGAGTCTCTGTCTTCGCTTTGAACGCGAGATGGCAAATTTTGACAACGTTTTTAACTCACCGCTAGCTGGCAATATAGGATCAGGTTTTAGACGGTGAGGTTTTGTCATGTTCAGACAATTAGGTCCACGAATGAAATCAGAGTGTTGGCTTACGCGAGACGAGAGCAAGGGTGGTGACAAATTGGCATTTTCAACCATTGCTATTACAGTATTGTTAGTGTCTGAGTCATTTAAATCTTTTTTTGAGATTTCATATCCAGACTCCCTTGTTTCTAGGTGTTCGTTTACATTCTCACATACAACGTCCTTCTTTACAGTATCTTCTAATGCCTTGCCCAAATATTCAGTCTCAGTCAAATTATCCATCATGTTTTCAAACGCAGTAACATTACCAATTGTCAATGCTAAATGCGGAGCGGTATTCGGTGAAAATGTACCACTGGCCATTTGAACCATAGTTTCTATCGGAGACGACTTGCGATTTTTTGACAACTTCTCTTCATAATCAAAATGTCTAATTTTCATGATATTCAAAGATTTCCCATCACTCTGATCCAATGATGCTTTCGTAGAATACACCATGTATAAAAATAAATTAAGGTGTAGAAAATGAAATTCCAAATATATATAAATACAAACAAAGTTAGCTGCCTAAATGTAAACAATGTTGAAATTGAGAATATCACTCATAATAAAGTTCCAATAGGAAGTAATGCACAAAGTTTATATAAACGTAATTTGCTGTCCCTGTGTTTTGTCAAATTTAGCATTCCGTTTTTTTATTGATATTTAATGTACTATATCCCAGTTCAAATGTTTCTATAATTGCATAATTGCATGTCGAATGACCAAATTTTGCAGTGATTAAAAACATCAATACTTTCTCATAACTTTAAAAATACTTGATTGAATTATTAGCAAAATAAATACACGTGACGTTACTTCAGACTGGAATCTTGAAATAGGATTTGCCTAGATTAACGCAGTTATCTTAAATGCAGCCCATACCGAACTAATCTCGTATACATATTTACTTTATATATTAAATCTTTTGAACTACTATGTTACCTTTTTTCAATCTTCTTGCCAAGATGTCTTTTTTTCTCCATTCAAGATCATTTGTTAATTTTTTAGTCTTATCTTCGTCTTGTCTTTGAGTTTTGATCAACTTTTTTGTTTTGCTGAGTTCCAATAATGATGAATAAAGTTTATGTTGTCGGTCATTCATGGATCGTAATATGTGTCGAGTATCTTTGTGCCATATTTCAACCTGAAATATTTGGATAAAATTTATAATCGTATATATACCATCCCTTATTATTGTTTTTAAAACTCAAGTTTTTCTGTCACATTTCGCCTCATTGAAGTAAGACGTCTTCAGACATTTACAGCGATGCTATATCGAAGATATTATGATGAAAAGTTGTTCAGAATGACATTAATTTGGCTACATAACTTATGGATGGGAAAATCAACAGGTATTGGACATTTAACCATAATTATGATGTGATAATTGTATCGCCATAGACCTGGCAAATTATTTTTTGGTCTATTCAATTTTGTTACAATAATTCAACAATGTTACCTCTTTTCGCAGTGCTCTTGTTTGTGCCTGGTTGTAATTTTTAACAAAGGCAGAAACTTCGCTGGTTCGCGTTTTTCTCAAAGAACCCAGTCCCTCGCTTGGCAAACTATTTTTAAGTATGCTTTGCATAGTTATGCCAAACTGTAAAAATACATATATTCAGTGTTAATAAATTCCAAGTTGAATTAAAACGAAAATTCACGAACTTTATGAAAACTAAATGTTAGTAGTTGCGTCCCTGATTTAAAACTACTTATTTAGAATGAATAGTATATGTATGTTTGATATAGCGTTGAGTTCGTTCATAATTTTCCGAACAAGGGATATCAAATCTCATTTTGCGACAATTTAACCCATGTTCACAGTTTACAAAATTGTAATAAGCAAAAGTAAAATTCATTTTACCACAGACAGTTGGTATATGACACAATTGGCTCTCAAAAATGTAAAGCATACTACTTACTATTGAATGTATAATATTAGAACAGTTTGAAATTGAAAACTACAGAGTTATTCGTCGAAATGCGAAACGTAAAATTTGACTCCATAACTATGCAAAAAAAACTTTATCAATCATATATAATATGTTATTCATCGGCTGAAGTTTACTGAGAGGCTTAGATCACTGTTTTACTAACAACAAGCTTATCTATGAACAGCTTAATCTTTCTGATAAAAAAGAAACGAAACAAATATAAAAGTTTTCGTATTTTTTTTTTTTTTTTTCAGTTTTCGTAACGTACGCTGTTTATCCTTTGTCGAATTTTGGTGAGATTTTGTTTGAATCTGTTGTTGCGAGTTTCGCCAATATTATTAGTTGGGATAATCTCATGGACTAATCTTGTGCGCGACAATTGTGTTTCAACAAACAGTCACGTCGGTAACAATGGATATGAATTGATAATAAAACCGGATATTTCAAATAGTACACTTTTCCAAAAATAGTTAAAATAATATCACTTTTCAAGGAATACCTATTTGCACTTAAACTGAATGTGATTTAGTTGGTGTTTCGACTCTTTAATGCAATCTCGAGAAATTAACTATCTATATTAAGCATTGTTAGATTGATGATTCGTATGACACTCACCATCAAAACAGTAGTTTCCTAACTCTAATATTTCAAATTAGATATTTGAACCTTGGGTGTCGCTGCTCGATAACCAGCTTTGGTTCCCCGTGACTTCCCTTCCCCAATAAAAATGTGCAATTTTCATTTTTTTTTGTATTTTCTATGTTCTATTGTTTATGCATTTACTGATTGGAAAAACGAAATTCACTTGACATATACCTTTCTGTACAATGCGATATATTTTACCTCTTAGAACTGTGAGTTCGATATAGCATTCACAAATTCGATATAGCATTTCATAAAACATAATTGTACAAAGATCATAAAGTTAAAACAGAGAGCCCACTTTTGTAAGATATTTTTAATTAAATATTAAGAAGTAGTACTTAAACAGTACAAATGATTACATGCTAGTGGAATTATACTGTTTAACTCGAGTTTATGTAAACCCGAAGAAGATTAGCATTGTTGTTTATGTTCAAACCGGTTTGGATTATTTGCGAAGGCTATTAGTGACGCAGTCGGTGCGTGTAAAATACCAAGTTGAACACTTTTCCTTCTGCCTTTAATTTGTATCTACAGCATTGTATTATAATTAAAAAAAAGGCTGAAATGTAACATGGTAGCATTTGCAAAAATACTTCGAACGCTATAATGTCTTTTCAACGCTATCACATTATATCTAATTTATTTTGCTGAATTCGCCGAATAAAGCATACCTGGATGTTGTTAATAATAATATAATATTGCTAATATGAAATCAGGTTTGAATACAATACAACTTATCAAAAACGTTCTCGGCATTTTATATTCAATTTCATGTAAATAATAAACTATAATATTAATAATACCAATACTAAGTAAAATTTCAACTGATATACCATATTGATACTTATGCGAGAAATTGTAATATTTTCGACAAAATTTCAAATGATGATACGATTTACACAAACATCAGAACAATGATGTTTTTGTATTTGATCCCGAGTAACAAAAGGGTTAAAATAAATGGATATATCATCGTGTTTACTGTAGTACTTATTTTAAAATTTATTCTGGAAGTGTTTCAAAATGACACGTTTACCGATGCTTGTCTTATGCAAACAATAAGGTTTTTGTCGCAAAGCATTTGGAAATTATGGAACGAAATTAATTCTGTGATTACAGATTAGATCAGCGGTTCCCAAACTATGGGTCACGACCCACTGGTGGGTCGTAAAAGGAATCTTAGTGGGTCGTGAAAAGGTGTAGAAAGCTTTGGTTAATTATACTGGTTATTAGGATCGGTGGCGACTTGAATACGTAAATCTTCAAAAAAACAAAAGAAAATTAAATTGAATTTAAATTCTAATCTGTGAAAGTTTCCTTTTTAGGGTATTCTCAAAGGAACAAAAATTTGTTACACGAAGAATGAACATGTGGATTTTTTACGCATAGCAGTTTTGTACACTGTACAGCACTTCTTACCGTGTTTCCCCGAAATTTAGACAGGATTTAGATTTATTTTCATTTCAAGAATAACACTATGTTTTTTTTGGAAGAGGTGTTTTGTGTTAATTTATCAAAAATAAAATTACATTGTAGAAAATCACAAGATTTTTTAATAAACATTATATAAAACCCGACACCCATTGTTTTTATTTCTATTTCCTATACAGAAATCAAGTGACAAATATCATAATTGTGATATCACACAATCTTGAATAGTGGTGTGATCTTAAATCATTTTGAAAATTCAAATTATTATCTTATTTTCAGGCCAGGTCTTATTTTCGAGGGAACACGGTAGTTTTGCGGAGAGTAGTCATTGCTGTGTTCTGTGTTATGTCATAAAAAACAAAAGAAAATTAAACTAAAGTTAAGTGGGTCGCCATAAGCTGTGGTAATAAATAGTGGGTCCCGACTCTAAAAAGTTTGGGACCACTGGATTAGATCATCAGACAATTGCATATATCAAGTCAAATTGAATTATAGTGTTGTTTTTCTTATTTATTTATATACGTCACTTATTCGAAAAATGTTAACATATAATATATATGAGGCACGAACAGTCACCAAAAAAGTCCAAATGAAACAACGAATAAATGACAATCATATCGCTCCAGTCCACTTTTCGCAATAAAACCGAAAACATAATGTTCATCATACCATTCTGTGATTACAGTTTTTCTTTAAAAAATAAAATTTATGCACGTACATGCAAAAATGACAGTGTTAGATGATTGATAATATTTTTACTTTTTATAGGGCAATAAATAACATTGCTCTCGAGACGGAGACTTTCGGACGTTATTACTACTGAAAACAATTATAAAATCTCAAGTATGTCTGAGAACACTAATTTTGACAATTTACGAAAGTGGTTGAGCGAAAATCTAACCACAGTTCAACAAGATGATGATGATCTTACTTCAAGAAACTTTTTATAAATATTCACTTTCCACGAGGTTTAATAAATAGCATTACTTTTAAAAATAATGGAAATTTAGATCTCAAAATTTTTGATTTCACTTAGTATGACTGACTTCCACTAACACACTCTGCCTGTCATGTTTCTAAACAGCAATCTGATGCAACATTTTGATAAAGAACTGGAATTATCAGAATAACCTCCATTAAAGTTGTCTGTAGTTTTCTCTTTAGTTTTCTTTTACAATTCATGTAATTGCTAATTTGTGTTTCTCCTGAAAATACTAAACTAAAAATATCGTGTCAACCCAGTAATAATAAATTTACATGGAATTTGAACTTGAAATGCTCAATCTTTTTTCTGTAAGACACTAGAAACTTGACTTCGTAAAATAAAGCGCCGTTGTTAGGGCATATTACGATGAATAATTATACCCTGTTTTACAACAAACCACTCAAAAGATCACTAACGATACTTTTTCTGTGAACGATTTATTCTTGTCGTTTAAGTCAACGGGAAGTCTCACAATTGGCTAATCGGCGACGAACAAACATATCGAGTACAGTACCAACTATAAATCATGTTATGTAAACTATTGTTTCGAGTAGCCTTAACACCGTGACAGACCCATGAATAACCCAGAAGTACTAAAACATCAGCATCGTACAATAGAGCGGAACTCTTGAGAAAGCCGCACAAGTAACGTTTCGAACAAACTATTGTAGTGTATAAATATGCTAGCGACAATTAATTTGGCCCACTGCTAATAGAAGAATTGAGATATACATTTTATTTCATGATATGGTTGCAAATATTGCATAGGTACAATTACAATTTTCAGTGACATCCAGATCATTCATATTCCAGAATTATAACAAACAATGGGATTTGCGAACACCAACAAGTAAGTTTAAATAACAGGCGTCGGCGCAACTTTACGGCTATAAAAAGATGGATGGATTTCTATTGTTACTAAGTAACTTTCTTCGTTTATACATTTCCACATTAGAAAAGTTCAATTTACTTTACGTCTTTGTCATAACACAAATGAACAAGACGTTGGAGACAATTTTGTCTCCAAAATATAGTTGGCCAAAAATATTTCAAATGTAGTTGAAGTCGAATTAAATTACAATGGATTTTAAGCGCATCACACAATTCCGAAAAAAAAGTTTTGGCAGATATTTTACATTATCAAATGTGAATACTAATAATACTTATTATACTATAATAATATTCCTTTTACGATGAAATGAATTACATGTTGTCAATATAACGAACATGCAAAGAAGGGGATAAATTGGATGTATTGTTTACGCAAAGTCCCCAATACACATTGCACAAATGAAATATAATCAATGATTTATAAATTTCGTTTTCGCATCCCTTGCTTGAACACAATACAAAAGTTTCATTCTCTTGAATGAAAAACATCAAAGATTCTATATTGAGAAAATGATGATTGTTTCTGTTTTTTTTAAACCAAAATAATTCATGCAGTTCGTCGAACTTCGTCGTAAACAAAATTAGTCCGAACGAGTGACATTTTTTCAATACTTATCGTATATCATGAACTTTTCGGCAAAAATCGGTTAACAACACGTGTAATTCTATCTAATCCAAGCTAATTATTTTCTTTACCCAGAATTTTATTTTAATTACGGTACACCAAATAGTGGCCATCCTATATCATGTATCTATTTAGAATGGCCTTGGCTTGAGACATTCCGAAACTGGAAATAATGTTACACGAGATGCCCGTACCAACTACCAATTTTGTGAAAAAAATAATTTTGCATAGTCATTATTTCGATTTCGATATTTAAATTTACCAAGAAACTTCAATAATGAATACCATGACATCGTTAATACGAAACTCTATTATAGTTATCAGTATTTCATCGTGAACTTGTGTATAAAACAGACAACTTTTATGTAAAAATGATTTAGTTCATTCTGGTTGACGAGTAAGCGACTTGAGGAACTATGAAGACTTTTGTCATACTTTCGTTCGTGTCTGCACTTGCTGCGGTTTCAGTTGGGACATATTGTAAGTTTATGTTGAACCAATTTATATTCTTTTCAATTTAATACTATATGCCAGTACAATAGTATGCCGCTATTCAAATTTCACTTTTACCAAAATCCAATTGTTGAATAGGAGTAAATTTTTTGGTTTATATACTTTGGGAGTCGATATTTGTAGACTTTATATTTCCCAATAAAAAATAATGTCGAATTTTCGCCAATGGATCTAAGTCTCTAAAATTTCACATCACTCTTTAACTTTTTTCAGATCGGCCCCCACCTCCACCGCCACCACCACCAGTCGATTGCGTGTCAACATACGAGCCTGCAACACCATGTAACTTGTACAAGAAGGGGTATCTTCGAAAATATTACATCAAGGTGATCAGAAAAGCAGAACAGGATGGTGAACATTGCCCAAAGCCATATTTTTATGGACGTAAGTTTATCATTGAACTTCTTCTGCAATACTCAAATCTACTTTTCAAGGACCAGTGTAAAACTTTCATAAAAGTAACATCCAAATCAACATCAAAATGTAATAGATCAAATCATAACAATATACTTTTTTTAATCAATTTAGGTTGTCATCCATGTGACGAGGAAGCTCGAGATGGCGATAGTTATAAAGAAGATGAGAAGATATACTTCCCAAACAAGCTTCTTCTTGGCTTCGAACCTATAAAAGTAAATCCAAAATGCTGTAAAAAAAAGAAAAAGAGAAGAAAGGGTGGAAGCAGCAGTTCATCATGCTCAACTCATGGAGGAAAAGGAAGCGATTCCGACAGCGACAATGGCGGGAAAGGAAGCGATTCCGATAGCGATAATGACAGAAAGGGAGGAAAAGGAAGCGATTCTGATAGCGATGATGGAAGAAAAGGAGGAAAAGGAAGCGATTCCGACAGCGATGATGGCAGAAAAGGTGGAAAAGGAAGCGATTCCGATAGCGATCATGGAAGAAAGGGCGGAAAAGGAAGCGACTCCGATAGCGATCATGGAAGAAAGGGAGGAAAAGGAAGCGATTCCGATAGCGATCATGGGAGAAAGGGAGGAAAAGGAAGCGACTCCGATAGCGATCATGGCAGAAAAGGTGGAAAAGGAAGCGACTCCGATAGCGATCATGGCAGAAAAGGTGGAAAAGGAAGCGATTCCGATAGCGATCATGGAAGAAAGGGCGGAAAAGGAAGCGACTCCGATAGCGATCATGGAAGAAAGGGCGGAAAAGGAAGCGATTCCGATAGCGATCATGGGAGAAAGGGAGGAAAAGGAAGCGATTCCGATAGCGATCATGGGAGAAAGGGAGGAAAAGGAAGCGACTCCGATAGCGATCACGGGAGAAAAGGAGGAAAAGGAAGCGATTCCGATAGCGATCACGGAAGAAAAGGAGGAAGAGGAAGCGATTCCGATAGCGATCATGGCCGAAAAGGTGGAAAAGGAAGCGATTCCGATAGCGATGGTGGCAGAAAAGGAAGCCCCGCAACCAAAGATTCGTACCATAAAGATCACGTACTGCAATATTAGAGAATTGTTTGGCCACGCTGAAAGACTTCATTAAAATGTATTGTTATTCGATAATATTACATTATAAGTTGTCTTTTCTTTCTATATTAAAATTTTAACATCATTTGGTCAATCGACATTTTTTTTATTGACGGAAAAATAGCACTTATTTTCTAACACCAATAAAATAGCTAAATAAGAGCGAGGACATGCGCAGGGAACATTAATAATTAATATATCATGGAGTCTACCATTAGCAGAAGCACATATATACTAGGGGAATATATTCTGCTCTTCATTCAAACAAACTCAAACTCTAATATTCTGTTAATAGTTTTTGAAGCCTTCTCATAAATTTACTTTACTCAACTGGGCATTTTGAAATAAATTCACAAACATTCGAAATTCAAATTTCCGAAGAAGAGAAAAGAAAGTGAAAAACATAAAAAACAAAATAAAACCGTGGAAATATTTTAATGTTTGAAATGGACTCAAAAATTAATTGCAGTTCTCAGATGGCCGTATGGGCTAATGAAAGAAAGAATGCTGGAAAGTTCATAAATCTTACTTGCGCCAACAACGTTATACCATTTAGACTTTAGAGGTTCAGTAATCGATAATATGGATTTTCCTACTTCGACAGGGTTGGTACCGGGCTTCAGTTATAAAGCCAAAAATATGCAATATTTGATTTGGATTTCGACTGTATAAATTGTATTAAGATGTAAGTGTATCTTTCAATATATCTGCATTGGATTAATTCGACCATACAACTGATGTCAAGTTCATGATGAATATGTAGATTTGGTTAAGGTATTTAGAAATATTTTAGCGCAAAGTTGCTTAGAACATGGATTCTCGAACTTTTGGTGTTGCGGAGCCCTTGAAAAGGTTGACTATTATTCACGGACCCCAAAATGAATGTTAAAATTATTACTTTCAGAATAATATTCCTGAGCAAGTTAAAAGTACTATACCTAATTTTAATGCTGAACCTTTTTAATAGGGTTAATACAAGTCATAAATAAATCTAAATTTCATACATAAATCATATATACTAAAGCTGTAAATCTGACACTTGACAAACATAATAATAAATTACGGGTCTAATCTTTTCCCTTTTGACATTTTTAGAAGACTTGAAAGGCGCTAATAACGTGCGCCATTGCATTTTGTTACAATCGCCGAATTTTTTCGTCAGCATGGCGTGTTTTTGAACCTTCAAACCTCTTTACGCCGGTGTTTATTCTCCCTAAACCAAAAATTTCCCTCGGCATATACATGTATTGTTACACAATGACGACGTTAATTGCTTTTTTGTTCTCGTGGGGAATTATGAGTTCAATGTGAAAACATGTTACCATATTATAGTCATTGGCGACGAAATGCTAAAAATAATAATTAATGAAGAGGTAAATCCGCAACTCAAATTTCTTGATTGAAAAGCGGCATTCTAAAATATTAAAACTAAAACTTAAAATGGGAGATCACACGTTTGGTTTCAGCAGACTCACCTCAGATTGAAAAACGCTTTTTTAGACATTGTAAGTCACAAAGTTTGGTGTTATTTTAGGTTTTCTTTGTAGTAACTGCGAAATCGAAACACAGTCAATTGTGCGCGCGATGTACCTCTGAAACTACCGACGGAGCCGCACGCAATCAACTGTGCGCGCGATCCGCGATGTAACTTTTTTATTCTGAAACTACCGACGGAGCCGAATGCAACAAAATAAATTTTAATTGTTTGTATTTTGCCCAAACATTGTAATTTTTTAAACGGCGATATTTTGCTTTATAATAATCTTAAGTGCGAAAGAACAAATCAAGTTTGACAAATCCCAAGATCGCAAAAATACGACTCCAATTTATTTATAGTTGGTAGTTTATCTCATATTTTATGTTGTTTTAGAATAGTATTCTTCCATTTTAGTAATCCTAATAGTAATCTCGAATCAAAGTGAGTAACGATGAGCACAATTACATTATAACGACGAGACACGTTAAATGCTCGCATCGGTCATGGATTGAATATTTTACGCAACAGAAATCTCGTTATCCCTTTTTTAATCGCAAAGAATGTTGCGCGGAAATTTCCGATTCCAATTTTGAACCACCTCCCTCTTAAGAATCCTGGCCGCGCTCCTGATTATAAATAATGTCATTTTTTAATTCCGCCTCTTTGCCATATTTCGAGGTTATATTGTTGTCAGATTTTATCAAAGCTGTTATTGCTTCTTTGAACAGTTACAAAATTAGTCAGTAATTTGAAGAGTAATTGAATAACTCGCGGAGCCCCTGGGTTTCTCTCGCGGAGCCCTGGGGCTCCGTACGGAGCACTTTAAAAACCTATGACTTAGAAGACAAAACAAGTGGAGTTCTAAGGCATTGGAATATTTTACTCCCAAAGGTTAATTCTTAATTTTATTTGCATGATCAGTGAGGAAACAAATTACAAGGACTTTTACTACAATATGAGCTTTTTATTGCCATTGCACAAGCCACAAAACACGTGTCTTTTCCGACAGTAAATCCTACGTAACTCGCATGCCTGAGGGTCTACATAGACACGAGCTTTTGCCACAGAACATTTACTCCTGCTATGACCGCTAAGCTAACTGTGACATAAGAACACGAGTAGTTATTTCCAGATACACCCCGGTCATCGGGCAGCGTATTCAATAACGGGAAACAAATAGGCAGACAAGCGTAGGTCCAGTTGGTGGACCTTACAGATTTATAAATATATTTGATACCGATTATCCAACTGGGTATAATGTTATATTCATGCATATTACAAACAACAATAAAGATGATATCATGTAGTGATATACACCATTATATAAACACCAATATAATATAATATAAATTGGTTAAAAGGGAATATCTACTCTGTCGTGAAATCTTTGGATAATTTACTGACACATTTAATAAACACAACTAAAAAGAAATTAAAAACAAAAAAAATTACATCAAATACAGCAATTCGCATCTACAAAACGTCGTGCGAGGTTTATTGCCAATTTAAATTACACAATATCTTTCTCGCAAATTGCCCGGAACATCGTTCCACAGGAATGGTCAATGAGCCCAGTTTCCAATGCTCCACAATCTTCTCCTTTTACTCCGTGGTTGTTCGGCTCTCCTTTCCTCCATGATGTATTCGATCCGGTAGAAAAAATTCCGTCAGACCATTTCCAGGTACTTTCATTCCATCTATCACTCAGACCAATCCAATAAAATCCACCACCACGATCTTTTATGATACCTTCGAGGTGATACCGTATGTTGTTATCCCGAACTCCAACTGTTGCAAGTCTTGCACCTTTGCTTTCACATTCCCCCTTTGCAGCATCCCAATTCATTGTATAGCTGCTGAACCAGTACCAACAATCACCAAACACTATTCCTCCGGCTTCAAGGTGACTTAGACGTCTTTCGATATCCGCTATTTGTTTTTTGTAATCTTCCACGATTTTCATGTCGAATATGCAAGGTTGCTGAATACATCTTGGACATAGAGAAAGCTTGTATGTAGGCTTGGTTGCTTGCACAGGTGCAAAAGGCTCCGGTTCGACAGTTGTTTTGTTGTAGAGAGACGCAGGCTCGAAATTTATGCTAAGAGTTAGATTTAATCGCGATGTCGATTTTTTATAATTAACACCGCATTGGAGACAGGGAAATAAGGCAGATTGTGAAACAATTAGGACTAAGATTACTAAGATATGCATAACGGCTAAACACTATATTACTTTCTATAGACTTCAGTTCAAATACCGAATTTCGTGACGGTTTCGTGATATATAGATCATCAAGACAATAGATTTAACCGGTTGTCGCGTCTTTATGAAGAAAGGGGCAAAAGAGGAGAACGCACAGTGCGATTGAATATAATTCAAAGCATCCACGCAGTTCAGAGAAGCAAAATATCACCCTTACTTAAACTCTTAAGGGGCAATTATTATTTTCTCTCATGCATGAGTGTTTCTATAGCCGCTCGCGGAACAATTAATAAGCTATATATATATAAGATAAAACAGTAATTATGGTAAATACAGAAAGAAGTGCCAGATACAAATAGAATGCGATTGCACTCTTAGTGGCATTTGCTTGGTCGCGTTTACAGCCCGCGTCATGTTTCCGGATAACCAACTCACCAATGATTCCTTTCTTAGTTTAGAACTCTTGAACTGTGGAGAACAATGGAGAGTTCTCATGGCACACTGCATTTTTTTGTCCGGCGATTATACTATGTGATGTCACAAAGCCACCGTTCATTTTCATTCTTCCGTGTATTCGACTCTAATCAGTTCATAAAAGTTTAAAGACTGCGACGACAGTGCTTTTGTGGTTGCTTCTTTTGCTCGCAGTTTTATCTTACGTTGTTTCAGATAATAATGCCATTCCCAACGGACTATATTTGTAATTAATTTTCTGCAAAAACGGTCGAAAAAAATGTTGTTGTACGGTTTTCGTCGTTCAAAGCAATTTGAAAACTGTTGGTTGTGTTAATAAGATATAGGTGGCACCATTGTTGGTGCGCTACAAACATGCATCGGTGAAAACTTGTATGTATGTATGCAGCGGTTGCATTGTAGAGATGGCCATCTAGAATTATTATACGAATAAAAATTATTTCTCGATAATTGTGTGTGTGACAACTTTCATTCAAAAACGTTCCAGTGGAAAATCCATTGAACGTAATTATATTCAATATTAGCACGAACCCGTGATTTGATCAACTACCTGAAAAAGAAATTCATTACTGAGTACTGTGAAAACAATCGGTGTAGGTCGCCACTTTGCATGTAACTGTATCCTCTAATTCCAAGATACTTAAATGCTACGTACTAGAAAGGTAAATCAAAGTATTTTATCATGAATTAATATAACTTAGGTAGGCGTTAGTAATGCTGACTAACAACCTGCTAAATGATAAAACAGTTCATACGTCAGAATATAATCACTGACTTTAATGTGTTAAAATGTGTATGTGTTAAACCCAATTCTTTTTCTATGTATGTTGCTGTAATCGAGCATATAGGTGTCACTGACACGATGACTCAATAGTCTTTCGCGACTCCTCGTCGATTGCGAAACATTGTGTGTTTTTGATTTATTTTAATTTATTATTATTATTTGTTGACAATGTTTCATGCATGACGAAACAAAATATTTTAACCTGAATCTCAAACCTGGTAAGGTTATTTGACCAACGATCAGCTGACCACAAAACTTTTCCAACCATTGACGTGCAGTCTACAAACCATATATAAATATATAGTTTATAGATTCTCAATGATGACGTGCGGGTCGTTATGCAATAAAGAGTGAACATCAAATATGTGTAGTCGGATCTATCTGATCTTTATGTTTGTACAGTAAAATTTATTTGAACCATAAATATCGCATTTACGATATATTATCTCTGGTCGACGATTATCTGTCCATATCATTTTATAATATTTATATCCTACGGCACTGCGGTGACGGAGTTTGTTAAATGTATCCTCAGTTTTATTACACGAGTGGTCCACGATAATAACTTTGAAATTTCCCAGCGAGTGGCTATTTCGATTTAGGCTGCTTCATAGCGACAAATCTTTTATGATTCTGACGCGCTTCGTCATCCAATAGGTATAGGCTATTTAAACGGTAGGCAGTTTGACAACACATTGCATTTGCGGAAAATAATAATCAAGCTTGTATTTAATGGGTATTAAACAACACACAATATTAGTTAGCCACATAACTGCCATGGTTATGCCAAATTATTTAGTTTACCAATTAAATATGTTTCCGCGAATTAAGTAGAATTTTCCCCCGTATTTGGTGCCCTTTGGTGTGCCAGACCAGAATATAGCGGAGTGTTCTAATTAATTCCATATGATTGCGTGGATCCGTGACATAATATTGTGCATATGGAGTATTATTTTGTTTTCACATTAGAGGGTTTGTTAAAAAAAAGGTCCCTGAGTTTTTCAGTTGTGGTTAAATTGATATCATTCATTCGCTGGACGACATGATTGGACGACATAGATTATTTCCTTTGTAAATTTTTGATTGTAGTCAAAACTGATATCTTGGAATAATTTTACATCAATTATATTGACGCCTTCATTTTTAGTAACAGATTAGGTAACTGAATTAAAATTTTTTATAGAGAATGAATATCAACGTGTAGACACTGATGTTGCTATACAGCTAAACTATTTATTTTTTACCCATTGTTAGTAAATGGCCATTACTTAATTAATGTATTAGCACATGACGACTTTGTGTGAAAAGCAAAGAAGAAAATGAGCAAGAAAGGAAAGTGCTACACTATCTCATAAAACTCAGCTTCATTGGGTATTGTTTTTGTATTTGGAAAAACACTCAATCACGCCAAATGCTAGGCAAACTTGATAAAAGTCATCATGTTTGAATTCACCAATTCTGAAATGATGAATATTTTTTGCGGTATGCGATCTCAGTGTCAATAAACTGTTTTGGTACATGATCTCACTTGCTTAACGTGATCTCAATCGCATACCGAAGTGAAACCAATTGTGGTGCCACTTAGGTAAGCGTTCAATCTCATAAAGACATCTGTAGGTTAGGGTTGGGTTATTGCTAAAGTCACTGCTATATCACAAAACCGCTGAGATCGCTTACCGAAGTGGCACCAATTTTTCTATTTCGAAACATGAAAACTAATTTGTATTTTCACGCCGGTATTTAGTATATTATTTTTATCAATATAAGCATATACGAAATAAAATATATCTGGTAATTTGAAAACAACAGCAATGCAGAATAAACAAGAAACTTTAAATTGTTGTATGCAATAAAATGAGATGTGGCAAAGATCGGCAATAAAAATATGTAGTAATTGTATATGAGACAGGTTTTGATGACCGCATCCAATTCTGAATCAGGGTAACCTATGCATATCTGCGACGATATACATAACCACCACCATATCCGTAACGCTAAGGGGCGTATCCACCTCCATAGCTATTTATTTGAGCATAACCATTTCGGTACCCACCACCTTGTCCACGACCGCTCCTAATTCTGAATTCAAACCCATATTTGAATCCGGGGCCATGTCCAGGTTTATGTGGATTATCACCATCTGAATCGCTCCGTGTGTCGGTTCTAGTTGTTCCCCTAGTACGGGTATCGGAACCGGACGATCGTGATCGTCTTTTTTTTCCTTTTCTTTGGTATTATATATTTGAAGTTACTCTCTTCTACCCCGTTCAAAGTTGTAATGGGTATATCATTCCTAAATAAAGTAGAATATAATGTGCTATTGGGAGGTTATTTTTTAATATTTTAAAGAGTATTTATATCAATATAAAAGTAAAATACCAGGTGTAACCGGATTTGTCGGACTTTTTTTTTATTCGTTTCAGATTAATCATCGTCCGTATCATTCTTATCCCCAATAAGCTTATTGTTTCATAAACTCACAAGCTGAAAAAATAAATTTTTGTAATATTAAACTAAATAGTGATCACTGATATAAAATGGAATAAACGCATGCAAAAATACTAATTTATTAGCGAAGTAATTTGAATGAAACCAATATTGAGTCACGATAACTTAGTACAGGTTTTAATGACTTGACTGGTAAGAAAACCAAACTTACGAAGAAATTACAAAAATCAAACTTTATCTCTCTCTACAAATATATGTATGCGTTGTTCTGGATATGAATTAATGAAAAGCTCAATAATATTAAGTCAATATTTGTTGTAAAACCAAACTCAAAGACATTGACTTTGTATCATCTTATAAGAATATTGAACTTACGCTTGTATGAAACCAAAAATGTATTTTCAGTGCATTTCTGACCATCTGCATTTTCTATCACTTGTCTAACAAATTTTTGTACTAAAAAAGGGCCGTATTTCTCACACACCCCCTCCGACACCCATTCAGAGAAAATGCAGGAATTGATTACTTCTACTTCTTCTGTATATAAAAACAATTAATAAACTCTGTGATAAATTACTGCATCCTTTTTATTTGTCTACATATACATGTAGAATGTAAAGAAAATATAATCATTTTAACCTACGGGAATTCCACCAACTACAAATGATTTTGCTACGAGGAATCCAAGTAACAAGAACACACGCATCTTCATTTTCATTTGTTTTTGATCCATAAAAAAGACAGAATGCTGATTTGCAGTCAGCACCGATCTCATATATAGGAATTAACGTTTTTTTTCCAAACACGAACCTTGTCATGTGTTGATTGGTCGTAATCACCATCACGTAGGCAGAATATATGTACATTATGCAGACTGCGGTTAACGAGATTACTTGAATTTACGAACGTACGTTGGATTTTTGTTTTATATATGTGGTTTGGGGGTACCGCATCGTACTTTACACCATATTCGCATTGTTGGGTATACATAGAATGACTCAAATCTCGACAAGCGTAAATATGTATAAATATTGAAAAAGGAATAAACATTCTCCACACGATGCGTGTTCATTAATTATCAATTATACACATATAAACAGAATCAAGATGCTTTGCATTAAAAGATTTTGATTATATTGATATATTTCCACATGGTTTCTTGGGCAGCTGGAGCTTCCAGATATGTTAATCTTTCACATATTTAATGTAACCACTTGATATATATATTCGTTGTTTAAGACCCTTTTGAAAAATACGGCACAGTGCAAAAATGCTCTCAGTATTCAGTTATAAAAGCTAAAGAAAACTTGCTAATACTAAGAAATCGACACATTCAAGTTTGGGCCATATGAAACACCAAGCGCTTAAAACGTTGTTTTCTTGGTTACTAAATTTTAAATGACTTTTCTCAATTGCTATCACCATACTATCCATGAATAAACATGTATCGACTTTTGCTTTTTCGCTTTCACCAAGTTCAAAAATTATACACCAACTTGAATCGCGGGAGCTTTCAAATAGTTCTCGGTATATGGTCTTTGTACTAATCGTATAAAAAAATTAGATAAGTTCATTAGAAATGCAAATATTTGCGATTAACTATCATCACTACAAATGGTCGCAGGAGCAGATTAAGATATGAAAATGGACGTGAACAGTTAATAATAGCCTACAACCAAGTGGCGATACGATTTCTTTGTAAATCCTATGTAAGGACACAGCATGGTCACTAAATTGGTAGCGAGATGAAATAATGTTCTATCATACCGTGATAAGTGAATTATAGAATATATTCTTACTTGGAACGGATTTATTAAATTATTGGCGATATGTTGTTCGAAAAACTTTTATAACTGCTTGTATCATTTGCTTTCATTTCCAGAATCGACCATGTATTCAAAAACAAAAGTCCAAGATATGATTTTTGGATGAATAAAAAAAACTTCCTATCAATTGAATGTATCTTAGTTATGTAAATTTGGCAATATACAAACGTTCTACAACATACCACAGACGTGCGTGAATTGCTCGGAGGATTCGGATAAAATCAAAAGCTTTTAGGCTTTGTAAATATATCCATGCTATATTGTAAGATATTTTTTTTTGTATATTTATATAATATACAAAATTAGAAATAGCAGCATCAAGTCGACAGACCGGTTACTTTAGTTTAGGAGTTTAATGAATGCTCAAGTTTAAAATAAAGCAAGATGGATTACAATGTACAAAAAGCAATAACAGTGTGTGTATCATCATACAGTATGAACGTTGATGTTATGGTGTTTTAGTTCTAATCTTATCTCGATTTGGTTTTAAAATTAATATTGCCCAACATAATTAAAATCGTGACACTAATTGAAATCTGCATTGTAGTTTTGGACGGTTATCGAAATCCTGCGCTCTTATATACACTCTATATCTGGAGTTCATCTTAACTCCCTAGGTATCGTACTTTTTGGTGTAAAATGTTATAAACTTTTCATCAAAATATATTTACAAATTAGATGCTGAAGAGCAGGGACGTCCAACCTTTTTGGCCGAAGGGCCACATGTAGTTTACTAATGATTGCGCGGGCCACTAAACATGGCATTATGTTCTAGTTTTGCTACACTGACTACAGGTTAATGAAAAAACAAACAATTCCCGCACATCAAACTTCCACAATTATTGTACCAATAAAACTGTTGTTTCCCAACCATTGATGGGGCGCCATCAGTAGTTATTTTTGAAAGTTTCGTCAAAGACAAGCCAAGACGCTTGGTCGTTTTCATCACAGCTCCCAACAGACCAATGCCTCTAGTCGTACTCTCGTCTTAATAGGGACAATGGCTGCGAGCTCTGCGGTAATTTCAAAATCCTTATTAACTCCCCACAAGAAGATCGCCAACTGAGGAGTAGTAACCTTATTGTCAGTGCTTTCGTCAAGCGCCAAGGAGTACGATGAAAATTTTCCCGCTTTTGTCGGCCAATTAAAGTTTCTGCTAAAGAGTTCTCAAGCTCTTCGACATGACGAGTTATGGTCTGTCTTGACAGGCTATTTTTGCAAAAACCTCTTTTATTTCCGGACGTAAAACATTTGCAACCCGAACAATACATAATATACATTTATTAACAAATTTTCAATCTGAGAATGGCTTCGATTGTTTTGCGATAAGGTCATATAGAGTAGTAAAAGACCAAGTGTGTAAGCCATTATGGCACCTTTATTTATCGATATCTCCTCCTAGTTGGTTTCGATTCAAAATGTCACTAATGGCTCGTTTGAAAGGGCTGGCAGGGCGCATTTCAAGAAAATAAACAAATCGTTTGTATCACATCTTTGTATACTACATCACTCGAAATATAGTAGTTGGACACCCTGCTGAAGAGGACAAAATTGCCATTTATGCCAAACCACGTGACATATTTGCCACTCCATCTATAGGTGAAGTGTTTGATGCCTATTTTAGTGTTTTTTGATGAAATTGTGATGGCGATCCCAATCGTGAAGAGGCTCGATGCCACCTGTTGGTGCCAACAGCCGAAGTCATAAAAAACTCTGTTTCTTGTGCTATTGCATCCATGTCCAAAGTGTTTGACACTTTTTGCATTGCATTAAAATAATGATTTTGCCAACAAATACTCAAGAAAATTGGCCTCCTCAACGTAAAACTAATATATTTTTTGTCATTAGAGGCGCGGGATAACTTAAAATGGTTTCAATCAGTAATACATGCAACTTTGGAGTGGGATTCACACAGATAGAAAGTAATTTAAGACAGAAAATAGGACTACCATTGACCAAGATTTCAAGTTTAAAAATATAATGAAAGGGGCGACATGAAGGCATGAAGCATTCAAGCAATTTGCGTGGTGCTATGTGTCAGGTTCGGCCAGACGATTTTTATTCATACTATTGAGTGCTATTTGTAATAATTGTTCAATGTAAGAAAATTTCTCGATTAGAGTTTCTACTTTATCAATGTAATGTAAATAAATAAGTTTTGTTCGTTATAAAGAAAACTGTCTCCCGTAATTCAATCTATACATAAAAATCTAATATACGTCTATAAAAATGTGGTCTGTTACAAACACCAATGTCAAATAATTATGTACATTCGCGTGTAAGTGTCGTCGGGGCACCGTGAACGCCAAGAGATGAATCTCAAAATAACTTTCGAAACTTGTCAAAATGAGGACTCCGATATCAGAATTATTATTCCGCGGAAAAGACAATCCAGCTGACAGGAATTATTGCTTAATTTTATCCACCTTTTTATGCATTGAAGTTAGGAATTATTGGACACGTTTAGTGGACATAACGATCGTTTCAATATTATGTTGTTGTTCTTGTTAGTTTTCTCCTTCGTCATGATAAAATCGCCTTTCTCTTCGAATACCGGACCAATTGCTTTGAAATTTGAAGTGGTTGAAGATTGATTGTTTTTTTCAGAAGGCTATTACTTTTATTTATTACTAAATTCTCTATGAATCCTATAAGATCTAATATTTCATCCGAAATTTCGCTGTATTACTTTTAATTATGGGAACACGGTTTTTAATCCACCAATCGTGACGGCTGATTTCGCAAATTGTTGCTACTAGAATATCGAAAGTTTTTTGAGGTTATGTTACCGGTACCAGTAATGCTAAATGTAAGGTAAACCACGGTACTGCATCGCTTGGTGCCAATATATTTGTAGACTGTGATATATGTTGTTATAATACCGGCTACCAACTGTCCGGATCAACTTGCAATTTCAGGCTGACACAAGACAGGAACTGGTAAAGTGAGGGCTGTTGGAGGTACGGTAACGGTTTGAAATTAGTTTTTTTTTTGACAGGTTACACTTCTGTAACTAGACCATTGTTGTATTATAAACAGGAAACATATAAAAGATTTCAGTTCTAGTACCCGTACCGTAAAAGTGCCTTCGGACAACCTCGGACGGTTCCAAACTTCGGACAAAAATTTCAAACGGTCATATCTCGGCTAAAAAGCGCAGTATTTCGCCAGTTTTTATTTTAATGGCTAGCGCTGTTACTTGTACTTCTCAACTTTTTAAATTCTGCATGATTATTTTTTTATTAAAAAAACGGAATTTATGCGAAAAAATGACTACCTGCTATTCAACAGCGCTTCTACTGAGGCTATCATCGTCAAAATACCATCATTCGGTAGAGGGCGATAACAATTTATATAATTTATCAGAGTGATCGCAAAATGTCGTACAAGATTTAACTAAAACTTTAAATTCCGAATTGTAAATTCCGTAAAATATTGAGATTTCACGCTGCGTCAAAAGTTACGTCAACCTCACATAGATCATTTTTTGCTCACTTCCGAGACGACGTCACACTGCGTCGCGGGAATGAATTTCGACGCCCGACACAACAGCACCAACTAACCAATTTCCATTCAGATAAGGATATTTTATTAGTTTTATGTTTAATCCAATTACTTCTCATTCGTCAGATGAATTGTTTAGTAAACCTCAATCATCAGATAATTTGTCTACTGAAAAAAGTGTACATGTTGGTGCAGGTGGGACAAGTTTAAACAAATGTGCAAATGATAAAAGCAAGAAAATCAAAGGATAGGTGTGGGTCTAGTGTTGCAAGTGGGGCAGGTGTTAAAAGTGGAAACTGTAGTACATATAGTTTCGAGGCATATTTTATTCATTTAATGTATAATACTACCTGTTATAGTACTTCCTGTTGCTGTCTTAGTATTCATTCTAAGAGTCGCTAACTCGACAAGTTGCTGAGACCGTGTTGTTGTGAAACATATTCATACCTCAACTCTCAAGTATATTTTGTACTGGGTATATTGTCACTGAAATTTTATTTTGTCATGGCAAATAAAGCTATTAAAACTATAATGTTATTATAGGACTATAATGTCATCCTCCAAGTCGCTGCACGTATCCAATTTATATATATTAGAGAAAATGCTGGCAGATAATTTGGGTTGCATCGTCTTTAAAGATGCCTGTTCGTTTTGCTATTTACCTTCTTTATTAGGATTTGAAAACGGCCTTCGAATAAGAATAAATTCCCAATCATATTTCAGACCCTTTATGCCTATTTTATAGGGTTTTGTATAGCGAATAAAGACATACCGTAGCAAGCTCAGAAACAAAATTTTATTAGGCTATTTTCCACCTCCATCCACTAATACAACTGCAGTTCATTTTCGTATAATCCAAATTTTATTTTGAAAATGCAATTAACCAAAAAAAACTAGTTTAATGTTCTGGTATATAATTCTAAGCATATTACATTTGATTTTTAACAATTCAATTACCGCTTCTATTATTTATGTTTTTAGTTAATTTTCAAACATTCAGTCGGAACCATGATGATAGCCTTTTTCCTGGTATCCTCCCCTTTTTCCTCCATGTCCTGAGTCGGAACCACTATGGTAGCTTTTTGCACGGTATCCATCTTTAGTTCTCCTGTGTCCTCCATGTTTGTGTCCTCCATATCCATGGCCTTTCACGCGGTAACAAAATACCTTGCCTCCAATTTTTGGTATGCAGCGCAAGTAGCTTCCGCCATCAGAACTGCTTCCGGAATCTGAGCTAGAATTACTGGATGAGCTTGAATTGCTGCTAGATTTACTCGACTTGCTTGATTTGCTCGACTTACTCGATTTGCTCGATTTACTTGATTTACTCGATTTGCTTGACTTGCTAGACTTTCCACTACTTGATTTTCCACTGCTGCTTCCGGATGTTCCAGATCCCATATTTCCCCAGCGTTTATACCTTTTGTGCGCCGTGTGAACCCATTTAACTGGACTCTCCATTTGTTCCAAGGTCCTCACAGGAATGTCGTACCTGTTTTGTTCAAAATATATTACTTCATTTTAGATTGTGCCTTCTGAAATTGAATTGGACCATTGACATCGGCCATTGTTTTATCACACATATCAGAGTTAAAAATTGGACTGGTGTTCAGTGTTCTCTTGGGCCTGGACATTTGGAATTCATTTGTAACCAACATATAAAGATAGAAAATAAATATTCATATCAGATCGAAGTTAAGTTTAAAAACGTGGCTATACGCAGAGCTCTAAATAGCTGATCTATACAAAATTAATTAAACAATTTCTTTTTAATAATATTCCAATATACAGTAAGTAAGACTTCATCATGATGAAAGTGTGTGACTGTCTTGAAGAATACAATGCTAGATCGCATTTCGAGGAGGACGCATAAATTTGAAAACAATTTGAAACTACTCCGAAATAAAATGGATGAATATACTATTTAAATAGCATTGGTTTAGTAGGGAATAAAAGTATTGATTAATTCCTCAAATTTTAGGCTAAATAGATCAAAAATCGTTTAAAAAAAATCTAATCTGATCTAGGTATATCATCTAACTTCATCGAACATATTTCTCCAACTGTGCGTTTGGTTTATAATTGTGTTATGCATTTGAAATCATTGCCAATTATTGAATCAATATTAGGTAAATTTCTCACCAGTTTGATTTACGATGTTCATGTTCGTCTTTTCTATCTTCTTTATTGTTATTGTCGTCGTCACCTTCTTTCTGATATTTGCAAACTGTAACAATAAATGAAGCTGTTAAAAAAATAGTAAAACACGAAAACAGGGGGAAGTCTGAAATATAGGTTTATTTATTTTTTATTGAAATCAATTAACTTGTATAATAAAATAAAAAAATTCCAATACCATGTTAACCACCATTTGTACTGTTTAGTAACAGTGGGGAAGTTTTTCGTTGCTCCTAGTTAATTTGTCTTTTTATATTATCTGGAGTTTTGAAATCAATCAAAATCGACTAACAACATTTTATGTGAAATAAGAAAAATATCATACTTCTGAAAGATGTCAGTTTTCCGTGGCATTTGCCTCCTGTTGGTGAAAAGACGACCGTACGTACATATTTTTGGAATTTCACGGTACCGAAAACTTCACAATTTCCAACCGGCTGCCATTCAGAATAAACACAATCAATGGGCTCTTCTGAATCTATACAAAAAATATGCTATATTTATATTAAAATTAGAATTGAAATCTTCAAAAATATTCGCGAGGATAGCATGCTGATGAAATTTTAGTACGGTATTTATTACCTTCAAGTTCCTCATCCATCACATCATCCTCTAAACAGAAAAAAAAATTGCTATTCAATTACCTCTTTATTACTGCTTTATTTCAAAAGTTTGCAAACGTTTATATATAAATCAAACGTTCATAAAACATTTTACCTAGTTCAACATTTTATTTCAATTTCACTATTGTGCATTAAAAGCATATTTAAAAAAAAAACTTTTGAAATGAATCAGTATCTTCCGCATAATATTAAACTTAACTTAGCAAATTGCAACAAAATGCTCTCTTTATTCGTGATAAATTCACGTACGTATTGAAACTGCAATTTAATTTTAATATTAAATTAGTAACTATTTTGTACTGATTTAGCAAAAAAAAGTTGATACATTACCTATTGTCTCTGCAGTTACCGCAAAGCCTAATGAAACCAAACACAGCACAAGTAACAGATAATGCTTCTTCATTGTGCAGATCTGCATTAGAGCAATTCTGCATAAAACTGTTTTTTTGCTTGAAAATTCAGCTTATATCATTAACCTTGGTATCAATTTCTTTGCATACAATCTTTTTTTGTTAAAAATGTCTCCCCGTCATACAAGAACAAACAAGACAGATCTTTCTTTTTTCGATACATTTTTATGGCCCATTCTATTCTTTATGTAACAAGTGAGAGGCGGCAGCGACTGGCGCAATTGACTACTCTTCTTTTCAATTTGATAGAAAAAAATCTGTGGTTTTATATAAGGACCTGCTGTAATACAAGTAACATCAAGTAGTACCTAAACGATCATTATTTAATTCCCAGATATTGTTTGCGGTGAGCTCTCTCATATGTTGTACGGTCCTTGGTCCTTCAAGTTATCAGATTTAAAGCTACGACGATCACAGTAATATACCGCAAAATAAGCATAGGAACAGTTAAAACGAATTTAATTCGTTTACTACTCTAGGCACAGTAAATATGAATAATCAAATTCACTTGAATATTGAAGTAAATAGAAGGGATGTTATATAGAGCATGCACACATGTAATATCACAATGTACCCAATAATTAAAATAAAAACATTAAAATTGCTAAATCTAATACCGACCAAGATTTTACTGTTTTTGCAATTATTGGGAACATTGTATTATAATATGTTTGTACGCTTTATATGACATTCTTTCCAATTACTTTCAATATTTAAATGACTTTTACTTTGTCTAGAGTAGTAAACAAATTAAATTCGTATTAGCTGGTATTTTGCGGTATCGTTGCGGTTTTTTACTGTGATGTTTATCTTCACTGTGCTATATATCCATTTGTTTATATTATACAAGAATTGAACGCAATTAGGACGCTTGCACGAACTATCAAAATAATCATCTCAGAGTTTCAAAATTCTATCACGAAGACTTATTTGGCAAATATAATCATGAACTGCACAAAAGTGTTGACTGCAAAATTTGTACGAGCTCATATAATTATAGTTAACCTAATATATACAAATCTTTAGTGTATTGCCCGATCTGCAATTGCTCGTTATTCTTATTTTGGACACAAAATGTATCTATGAACCGTTTTATTATTAGAAACGAAGGTGACCTATGGGTCGTTTTGTTATTAGGTTGTTATTGTGAAAAAGCGCTTTTCTCTTCAAATACTGGACCAATTGCTTTGAAATTTTCATTGATCAAAGCTTATCGCTGGGAGGATGTCCCTTTTATATCAAAGATATTTTCGGCTCTATGAGATTCGTTTTTCAATTCAAATTTTTGTGTGAGGTGATTGTGTTGCTGTTATTTGAATTTTGAACAAATTACACTTATCTGTCGTATATAGTTGAAAAAATATCGAACTGTTGTTAAAAAGTTTGGAATTGTACTCGATAAGACATAATGCGATAAGACATTGTTTCGTAATGTTAATATAAAACAACGAAACAAATTGAACCTAATAAGTCTATCGAGATATAAAAATTATACATCAAATTGTAAGCACTGTGTGACGTATATGTAACGATTAACCAGTCAGTGAGAAATTTAATATTTTGGGAATTTAAGGTCAAAAATAAACACAGCATCCGGTTCGGTGTTATATAAACGATGTGTATATAATATCTGTTTGTATATAATGTGATGATGTTCGAAAATAGGTGTGTCAGATTGTTCAATCGATAACCTTTATATCGAAATTCATGAAAATAGGTACATAAACATATAAAATTTTGAAATATATTTGTTAAATATTATTGTTTTTAATCAATCATTTTTCTTAATAAATCTTACAATAAAAATCCGGGTAGATTAAATTTATGAATTAAATCTATGTTTCAATTGAAACATAATCTATGATTTCTTTTAAAATGAATGCAATGAGTAGATTCCTATTTAGGTGACAGTTAATTTGTGTATCTCCCAGGTGTTGTCAAGAGAAGTTCAAAGTCATAGGTTCAAAATAATTATTATTACATGGTTGCATAACGCCGAAACCTAGTACACAACTATTAAACAAACTTATGATTGGCAAGGGATAATTGACATTGCACGTAAACGATACTCATAGACAAAGTGCAACTAACTCGAATTGGTAAAAGTTAGCGCGCTTTTAATAGACGACTAATGAATGGGTATATTGTCTCTTGTGAATGATTTTGAATAAAAACATTATAAAGTGTAAAGTTTTTGAAATAAAATACGTACGGTTAAAAAAATATTTTGTGTTCCTTGTAAAGACGAAAATTTATTGTACATAAAAACACCTTAAATCTTGTATTTGAAAATATTAAATATTTTTTTCTATGTTTTTGTAAACTATTAAACAACATAGTTTGGACAAGCAAAATTTTATTCGTTTCCGTTTCATTTTAAGTGTTCAGCTGATAAACTCCAATTATTTGAGTTTGAATAGTTATTTATATTCTTCTTCTTGACTTATTTTTTGTTTTCTTTTTAGTTAACCCACTTTCTGATCTTTCGTGATCATATATATATGTGTGCCGGAAGCCATATTTTAGCAAATATAATAAAATGGTAATCCCAACTCCGACTACAGCAGCAATGATATCGATTCCATATGTGTTATTTTGTTTAGCTACGATTGATTATAGATGAGGATATGTTTTAAAAAAGTGTGTTCTTCGATTATTTACCCGATACATTTATTTGAAGCCATACTCGGCGACACGGCATAGTTGAACTATTATTCTTCCGACGCATAAGTTAATAGAAAGAACTGATGCTTATGATATGTTGAAGGCTTATTCTCCTTATAACTTTAGTTAGGTTGGTGCCTAAATATTTTCATTTTATTCATTTAATTCAATTTCGAAGGGCCCTGCCTAAACAGAAATGTTGTCAAATAATATAGTCAATGCCACCCAGTGGCTTTTGTATTCTTTTCCAAGTTCTAAAACTTGCCGTCTCGAACACACAAAACAAGGTACTCCTGAAGTATACGCACCAAGATGTCGCACCACCTGGACCTTGACCTTGTACAATGTACAGAAACTGAGTTCAGGTTGTGCGCCTTCTTGGTGCGCATACTTCAGGAGGTCCCAAAACAAATTATGAAATTGGCGTACGCCCTACACTTCTTACTTTTCGCCCTATAAAAAAAAACGCTCAATCTTGAATAGGATGAGAATTTTATTAAATTTCACTGAAAATCATAGATCTAATTACTCAATGTATTTAAAAACTAAGAAGCAAATATATGGTTCGGGTGTGTCTGCTGATGAGTTCTTGATCAATTTCTCAGTCACTGTTCGATCCGGATCCATATCCTTTATGGTAATTTTTGCGATAACGTCCTCCACCGCTATCCGACCCAGAACCGTAACCTTTGTGATAATTCTTCGCATAGCCACCACGATCGCTATCCGATCCGGATCCACCCCGACCTTTGTAGTAATTCTTCGCATAGCCACCACGATCGCTATCCGATCCGGATCCACCCCGACCTTTGTAGTAATTCTTCGCATATCCACCACGATCGCTATCCGATCCGGATCCATATCCTTTAGGATATCTAGAATAGCCTTTTCCGTGATCACTATCGGACCCTGAACCAGAATCGCTTCCACTTCCACTTCCGCTACCACTTCCGCTTCCGCTCCCACTCCCGCTTCCACTTCCACTGCCGCTTCCACTTCCTTTTCTGCCGCCCTTTCTGCGATCGGAACCTGAATCTGATGATGATCCAGATGATCCTCCTTTTCTATTTTTTCTTCTCTTTTTCCTGTAGTCATCAGGATCTTTGCGCTCATATATGTAATGCTTCATCTTACCGGGAAGATAGTCATACACGCTGTCGCCACCATATCCACCATGGTAACTTTTGTCTTTTTTGCTATAATAGCAACCTGTTTGAAAACAGTGTTAATCAATTGTTAATTTTTGCATAAAATCTGTAATTCAGTTCAGTACAAGCATATATGATGTAATTTGAAACTTTTAATCATTACAACCATATCAGACTCTTTGAAAATGCGGATAACTTAATTTCTCATATTTATCAAATTGGCTTGTGATATTGTAGATAGAATTGAGCACAATTAATAAATTGATCAACTAAATTTGTTAAGTCATTGAGCTATTCCGTATAGAGATGATAAGTCAGGATGCGTTTATTTATTGTGCTCCTTGTAGAATTCGAGCCTCTGTTTCAAAATATATACCGCGGTTGGTACTAAATTTATTAACAGTACCACTACTCACGTTGATATCTTATCGTCGCCGGGCATTGTCTTCCATGATACCGTGGGTGTTGATAGATGTTGCAAGAGTACTTCTGATAATAAGTTCCTTTACTACGGTAACAAGATCCAACTTTTGAGAACTTGTATCTACAATGTACCGGACCTGAAAATGAAATAGGAATAGTATCAACAAAAAACAAGAACAGTTCATACCAAGATTTATACATGCCTAACCTATTATAGATTATTTGACATGTAGTAATTATACTCATTTGTGTGGTAACACTTCACGGCGAAACAAAATCAACTCTATTGCATGTATGCATTATGTTACTGTTTGTATGAAAGCAAGGAGAAAAAAATGCGAGTAGAAAATCTAGTTGCTAGTAATCTAGTTTTGTAACTGATTGTCTTGACTTTATGAATCAAGCCTGAACTGTTTTTTGAACGAATATTTAAAATTAGAACGGCAATAGTGCTTGTCGTGCAGTAGAAAGTTTAAGTAAAATGATTTAATCCAACAAACTTACGAATGTACGTCGCAGTCGATAGCGCTACCGCCGTTGCCAACAATCCTAGAATTGTCAGATACCCCATGTTCATTCCTTGCTGTAGTTAACTATCACCAAGATTGAAATGTGCTATTTTTCAGTTTTTGGTCCCTAGCTTTTATAAAAATTCTAACCCATTTTTTTAATATATTCCATCGCATTTACGCGAATTCACGTAAATTACTTAATTGATAGAATGTACGTTGGGTAGCAATTGACATTTGATAATTTGACACGTTTTCAACAAATTAGCATTTATTATTTCAGTTTTGATTTTGCCAGGTGATTGTCAGTCATTTTCCCATTGGCGTCATTGCCAAGTGCTACCTCTCTGCAATGGCTCGTATGGTAGTTTTTCTTTGTTACGTAAATTATTTCTTTGAATTAAATCTTTCTAAAAACATGAGCATCGAAACATATATAATTATATGAAATTATATTCTGCTCAATATCAGCATAATGAACCTAATAGTGTCTGAGAAAGTCATCAAAATATCACTGACTCACGTCATTGAATTGTATCCGCTCCTAACGGACATGATATGAACCTATCTTGATATTTCTCAATTAAAATAGTGATAAAGACATGCTAATGGTTTCATTTCAATTTTCATTTTTTGGGTATTAACACAAATTCATTTGCACGCAAACCCTGTTGTTTGGCCCCATCGGCCCTTCCGAAAGGCTAGTGAATAGTGATGAATCAATTAATTAGTATTTGTGGGCTTGATACCATCAATCCACCAAACTAAGATAGGAGCGGAATCAGTCTCATACAAAACAAATTCTGACAAAGTCGAAGAAGTGGCGATGGCATTGAGGCTAATGAGTGAATGTAATCTATTTCTCGACATTTCTTATTTTTTGTATCGTGCCTTATATCGTGCCTTGTATCGCCTTATCGTGCCTTTGTATAGTGCCTTGTATCGTACCCCATTGAAAATTCCGGGCAGGTCTGATATTCATTATTGCTTGAGATGGCAATAATATTTATTTGGCTGGTTAATTAATAAATTAGTGGAATAAGATGGTTGTCTCCGATCAATTATTGCCGACACCATATTCCGTGCAAAAGTGGGCGAATAATGCTCAATTAATGAAAAAAGATCATAATCAAAGAATCCAAAATGAAGCCATCTTTGTTTTTTCGCGTGACTCTTCGCCGTGAAATGTAGTTTTTAACTTTTGTTTTCTAATTTTTGTTCACAGTAAGCGCATTGTCATTTTGGTGAAAAATAAACTACTGACTGAGGCAACCCATCACGATGTTTTGTGACCTACAGGCAAAACAGAATGATTAAATCTCTAATTAGAAACCACGACTCAAAAACACTTCATGTTGTGAGTTATGTAAACTTCAGAATTCATTGAAAATTATAGAAAGCAGGTTTATCCTGTGTTATGTTTATTAAATATCCGCACGAAAGATTATCTAAACAGGTTTCGTAAGCACGAAAATTCTTGTTCTGACGCACGCATCAAATTACAACAAATAACAACTCAGTTTGACCATCGTATTATTAATGCCGATGTAATTGCAGAAAAATCTTTTTATTTTGCACCTGTGCTTTGCATCAAAGGTTTGCACATAAAATTTGAAAAATAAAATGACACATAATATATATGTATACTGTATGTTTCTGCCAAATATACCGAGATACCGTATTGACTTGATCAAATAACTTGCAGAATGAATATTATCCTTTCAATTTGATTCAGATCAATAATTTCTATCTAAAATAGCATTGGTTGATCAGGAATAATTGCATTCTTGATTCGCGTGATCAGTATACTGTCAGATATGCTTATTTTTATGCTTTCAAATCCTTGCTCCTGGCGACCAAGGCATAAAATTTTTTATCAACATCCTGGACAGCAATTTTACGCAAATATAGATTAGGGTAAACAAGGCCAACCATGAGTTATTTTTTCAATATTTGAGCATCACTTAGCCAAGTGTGAAGGTATGCATTACCTAATCACATCTGGGTCTACTAATTTAAACAATGTTTGCAGAAAATGCGACACAGTAATGAAACTAAGTTTTGGTTTCGAGAAAAATTTTCTAACCAATACATGCAATTATTTTACAAAAATTACAGTGTGAAAAAAAAAACATCAACGCAATTAAACTTTTTACCCAAGAAAAAACATCAATTATACACTATTATTCCGAAGTATTCAATACGGTGCTTGGTCACGTTTCGTGGTAATAGTAATAAATTAAATTAAATTTCATGAATAATAACGCTGAGAATTCATATATGTACTCATGTTGAAATTTTACTGAATTGTACATATTCAACCTAACATTCTTGTCTTTTAAGCATTGTAATTTTAATCCCTTTAATTTTAATCGAATAAAACGTGTGGTGAATGCTGAAAACAGCATAGAAATACTACAAAGAATGTAATACTGAGGTAATGTAATAACACAATACTTTAGTATAATATATCAGCGGTGTTCAACCCGCGACCCATAAGCCGCATGCGGCCAACCGCGGGATTTTGTGCGATCCACGAGAGGTTTTGGCCGCCGACCTCTAACGAACTGTTTATAGTGAACCCCGCAACTTTTCCAAAGTAAGCAAGATTACAAGCCACTAATGATTTGAGGTATTCTTATTTGCATAATAAAGATATTCCCCAAAAATCACACTGTTGAAAAAAGTTTTTCATTCTATGGCAAATGGCATAGCATGTTGCAGCAGCGATAGGAACAACCAATTTGTGTGAATCTTTTTATCAGAAGTGGAAAATATGAATTAAGCGCAACAAGAACGGACATAAGACTAAGTAATTATCCTGAGCAGTGACAATGATACCAGTCGATATTAAAAGCAAGGGAATTACATTTTAGGAGGTTTCGCACTAACCGGAGAAATAAACTTCTCTTATCATTGCTTGGAACCATTATTCATCCTTCACATTCGTCAAATTTCGCAAAACTCAAACTGTTATCTATGGTGAATGAAAAGGCTGCCAGGCCGGTGACCACTGACCAGGCCTGCGCTATAAATGAGTTTGTAAGTATACTTTCAAAATGTTTGGTATTTTAAAGAGAATTAGGTATATTTCGTGATTTTATTGTGATATTTTCTGGCCATTGTGATTTTTTCTGGCTTTTTCCATATCGAAATGTCGATTCTGCTTTTACATATGTATCAAGTCTCGCAATTTGTTCCAGATCGATGTTTATTTTTTTTTATTTCTCGCGTATGCGCGTTCTGTTCGACGAACTCAACGACGTTCGACGAAAATAATTGTGCGATTATTGGCGGATTTGATCTTCGCTACAGTAAAATGAAAAGTGAACAATATTTTTGCTATTGGCTCTGGGATTCATTGTCATTATCTGTTTGTATTTTTCTATCGTGTTCATGTTAATTTTGCGTTAAAAAAACAACTACTGGAATGTCGGCACTTCGTATCCATTAACAATAAAATAAATTTCAATCAGTTGTATTACTACATATTCAAATTATGTATATGCGTCCGCTTAGTAAAGTTACTTCTTCAAATACTTGTATTGATGTTTGGAATTTTACAAAACGACCCACTGAAAAATTGTCAAAATTCACTCGACATTGGGGCTTATTATGCTCATTCAATTTGAACAATATCATAGCCACTGAAAAAATTTAAATAAAAAAAACACCCTGATGCAAGTATAACACTTATTAATAATTGTTTGTCAGATAAAAGCGTCCGTATATAGTTTGTCGTGAGGTCGTCATAAATCCGCAAGTGGCTTGAATTGAAGCGTTTGATGCAGCAATTCACGCGTGACGTGTCCTGTCCAGGTCGCTTGTTATCAGTTATACCGATATATTCAAATATTTTGCCCAGCTCTACTCAAAAAACAGTAATCATTGTCTTGATTGATTTTATGTTAATAAACTTGCCTTTTATGTATTATGTAAATTCAAACGTAGATCAGAAGTTGGCTGGTATTTATGTTTGGTAAAAGCGTTTGCGGCAATGAATGTCGTCATGTAAAGGAGACCAGCGACACTAAAAAGGTTATGCAGGCATGGAAAAGATGTTATGTGAACATGAGTAGGCTATTATACGTGAATAGAAGAAAGGTCGAATCTAATCAAGACAAAGATGTCATGTTGAAATACTTTTATAACCTTCTGTTGATGGAACGAGATCCATGTTTTTGATGAAAAGTATATTATTTTATATGCGTATGGTAATATGGAAAACCTTGAAAGTATTGAAATTTATATTTATCAGGAATTTTTATTTTATTATTATCAATTTGTAGATAGATTCTATAGTATTGATATCAAGATATTCCACAAATATATTTCCTATTTTAAAGTAAAATATTAGGCTTCAAACTTTCTAGCTTTGTAGTTTAATAGGACTTTGTACAACCTAACATTGATGTTTGGACATTCCCACTTATTTTCCAAACCAAGTGGTAATCAATGCTTCAATTCAATATTAGGGTAATAATTATTGAACAAAATTATACAAATTCTACATCTGACATTATATTATTCATTGTTTATTGGTTAAAGATCCGTCCGTATTGGTAGTCCTGTTCCAACCGGTACGTGCCAGAATAATAAAAATACTGAATTGGAACATTTTAAAAGATTTTTAATAACCAGTCAAAAACGTAGATATAAAAATTTATTTTCAATGGTAAAACTTAAGACTTGTTATTATGTGTTCAAATGCACGTTTCACTGCGGTATGCGGTGTAAACCGCACTCGAACCATTTAAAAAAATTGCCATGTTATCATGGTAAAAATAGGAACGAATTTTGAAAACTTTCAATTATTTAAAGTAATTTTTCACAGTTTTTGGCTTTGGCCTTCGCATTTTTGTTTTTTTCAACAAGTTTTATATAAAAATGCATTTACTAAAAATTGAAAAAAAAAATTTAATTACCTTAAATTTACGTCATGGTTAGGTATTTTTCCAATTTTTTTGTAAAAACTCGTGCTGAGAGTTTCAGGAAAAAACTCTTAATTTTAATCATGCAAAATTGATTGATTCACCGTTTAACCGCTGTTAGTGTCAAAGTCGCAGCATAAAACAGTATTTCCTTGAATAATCTTTTTGCGTATTGATTCAAAAGCATTATGAGATAAACTCGTTTTTATTGGTCAAACTTTAAAAAAACAGCTGCCGACTGATTTGAATTTTTAAATTTGAAAAAAAAAATGCAAAATGCAAAACTGCGAAATTCAATAGTAAATATTATTTATAACCGATAAGCATTTAAAACGGTGAACCGGATAACTACCCTCAGCCATGGTGAAAACGCTTCAAAATATTTTGGCGTTGAATGACGTTCATGAATTGTGATGTTTCCTATTCGAACATATAAATATTGTTGAATAAAACTGACTGAGCGCCAAAGCTCAACACAAGAAGCAATAGTTGTTTACATTTGCGAGGCAGAAAGATCGCGGTTTATGAACCCGTATGTTACCAGCTATGTATATTAATACACTTTGACAATAATGCAACAAGATATGGTGTTAACACGGGGTAAATTAAGCATGACTTGAGTTATTTTTTCCGAAATTTTATCTCCGCGTAGCCAAGCCTTGATAGGTTGTTTCACATACTTGTATGCCCATCTCTGTATGTAATTTAACAACATTTTATCGAAGAATACGAGACAGATACGTGGCGCCATAAAACTTCATTTCTTGTTTAAATGTTTTCATTTACGCAAATGAAAGGTTTAAAAATAGTGGGTGTATCTGAGGTGTGTTTCATGTACTTGTACGCAAA